GGCACACGGCACGGCACGGCTCAGTGTGACAGCAGATGGCACAGCACAGCATGGCATGGCCTGGCACGGCAGAGCACGGCACCAGAAATGCCACCCAGGGGGCACTTCAGTCTCAACCCAACCAAACAGCTGAAAGTGGAGCAGGGCGCTTTATTCATTTATCCTTTAATTCACCAGCGCTCCCCCCCCCCCATCTCACGAGCCAATCGGGCCCGATCCTGCTCGGGAGCAGGTGTAGCCCCACCGGGGTGCAGCACCCAGCACCCCAGCACAGACCCCCCCCCCCACACACACACACCCCCAGCACCCACAGGACCCCCAGCCCATGGGATCCGGCCCCCCCCCAGGACCCCCCCCGTGGGTGCGGCAGGCCGTGGGTGCCCACCTGGGTGCGGGGGCCGCGCGCCCGCGCTGCTCGGCACAGTTGGTTATCGTTACATCTGGCATCAGTCGCTTCCATTGGGCTCAATAGGGGAGGGAGAGAGAAAAAGGAAAACTCAGCTCAGGGCGATTTAATAAGTTCAGCGTTACGAGCTGGGGAAAAGCTGTGGAACACACAAGTGGTAACGCAGGATTAATCTTTCCTTTAGTCTTGGGAATTATGTTTTCATTAATCCTAATTTTTCCAGATGTTTCACTCCTTATACCATGCTCTTCAAAGCCTCTGTGGCTGCAAATTCTAATGAAGCCATGAGAACATTTTAAAGAGAAAGATTCAAAGCTTAAATTGCTTCCTTTTTTTTTTTTTTTTTTTTTTTTTTCTTCTTTTTTTTTTTTTTTTTTTTTTTCTTCTTCTTTTCCCCCCGGTTGGGCTGTCGGGGAGTGCATGCGTGTGCGGTCCCAGCGCCTCCACATGTTGTGTTACACAATGTGCTAACAAGATGGAGAAGGCCACTCGGACCGCGTGATGCCGCTGTGACGTCTGTTCGGCTTCGTGTGTCGTGTCCGTCCCCCGTCCCCCGTCCCCCCCCCCCCACCACCACCTCTAAACCCCCCCCCAACCCCGGTAGGACCCAGCTGCGAGGGGCTGGAAGGGGGTTTAGGGTGGGGAGGGGGTTGGCCCCCCCGCCTGCTGCCTGACAGCCAGCACCGGGGCTCCTGGGGTCAGCGCTGGACTTGGGGGGGGGGGGGGGGGGGGTTTAAAACACTCGCAGCGCTCGCTCCCGGCTGGCTTAGACACCGGGCGGGTGTTTACGTAGGACCTACAGAGATGCTGGAGCAGAAGTCAGGCGTAGCTCCGTGGGTAGCGTGGCTCGTTGGCAGGATCTTTAGGGAAAGGGGAATTTCGGGGTGCTCCGGGCTCAGGAGGGGGGTGGTGGGGAGCAGAGCGATGCCTCGGCCCCGGGGGTGCCGTCGGCAGTCCCTCCTCACCATTGCGATGCCACGGCCGGGCAGCCGCTCGCTGCCCCGCGGGGATGAAGCCGGAGCACCCGTTCCCTCCCTCCCCGGGTCCCCAGCACCCATCCCTGGGTGCCAGCGCATCGCCACGGGGTTGGGGGGGGGGGGAGGACACCCAGCCACCCCCAGAGCCACGGCGACGTTCCCAAACCTTCCCCAGCCCGGCCCGGCCGCAGGATCCGGCCGCCGCCGCCCGGCTGGGCTGAGCTGAGCTGAGCTGAGCTGAGCTGAGCTGAGCTGGGCTGAGCTGAGCTGAGCTGAGCTGGGCTGAGCTGAGCTGAGCATCCCCTCCTCACCGGGAGCCCTTGTCTGACGCAGGAGGTCAGACAAGACGATCGGAACAATCCTCCCGGTCTCCAGCACCCGGGATTCAGATCCATGTACTTATATGGCCTGCAAAACGCGGTGGGAGCATGACCAACGTCTGGAAATCCAGATATGACTAGATCCCTTCATTAGTAATTTCTTGTACATGACTTTCTAGACCATAGGGATTTGTTAAATTTGCAGGAGTGTTTTCTCACAGTGCCATGGACTGGCTGTTGCCAGCATATATTGGCTCGGATCTGTCAGATCCTGTTGCCTTATATGACCCTCGGTTAATTCAACTTTTCTTTGTATCCAGCCCTCAGCGGGGAACTCCTCTAGCAGTCTCAGCGTGGATCATGCTAAAATGGTTCCCCAGTCCTCCTGCCATAAAACAACTGCCCACACAGTGAAAGGGGGACGTGGGGGGTGGAATTCAATGCTCCCCTCCCCACCGCCCCAGCCCTCGCCAGATGCTTCCTCCATCCCCGCTCCTTCGGTGCCGAAAGAAAATTCTCCAAGCCTGGAAAATGTTACTGGAGGAACTGGACATTCCCCTCCAGCACCGGGTCCTCCCCGCGAGGACCGTGGCACCCCGCCGGCGCACCCTGCACCGTGGGGTTAATCATTTGTTGCCTTCGGGGGTGCTTGGGGGCCAGGGGGGACTTTCACCTTCCCGGCGACCTCTTGAAACTTCGACCTTCTTTTATGGGTGCCATAAAGGTTATTTTTTAATCTGCGCCCCGGCCGGCTTCCCCCCCTTTCTCTGCAACGGGGTCTTCGGTCCAGGGGAGCGCTCGGGCATCACTGCTCATCGCGTCTCCGGTTTGGGAAGAGGGGGGAAAGCTAAATGGGATGGCTTTTTCCCAAGGGAAGGGGATGGAGGTACCCAACGGCTCGGCAAAGCAGCGCGGTGGTGGTTGGTGTGTGCCCGGGTGCTGGCGTGGCTCAGCCCTGCGGTGGATGCAGCAGAGCCGGGGGAGCTGCCGGGAGGGACACGAGGGGCTGCGGGTCACGGGGGAGCCCCTCCGTTGGCTTTTGCCCTTCTGGGAGCCCGGAGGAGCATCCCAAATCCCCACGTGCTGCCAGAGCAAGATTTCCAAGTGGAAAAAGAGCCCTTGTCCCAGGACGTCCTGCCGAGCCTGCAACAACCCTCTCGCCCGCCGACCGAGATAAGGAGTCGTGTCACCTCCCGAAACACCCCGAGCCCCGGCACTGCCACTTCCCCGCTTGCCAACAAGGGCACCCCCAAACCTCCTTCCGTCCCCGCACCTCCGCCCCGTGCCGGAGGTGACAGCCAGACCCAGGAGGGCTCTTACATCCCAAACCTCCCAACACGCTGCCGGTCCTCACCAGCAGATCTGGCAGCGCCAGGACGCTCCAAGGGAACGCGTCTCTTCCAGCATCTTCCTCCTCCTCCTCGCAGGAGGCACTGTGTTGTAACCTGGAAATCTTTGAAGCACTCTATTTTTTTAAAAGATCTGTTCAAAAGCTTTTTCTTTTAGCATGTTTTTTTTTTGTTTTTTTGTTTTTTTTTTTGTTTGTTTTTGTTTTTGTTTTTTTAACCTCACCTTAAAAAATCCCCAGACTGAAGCGGGAAGGGCTGAGCCGCCCTGGGGCAGCAGGAGAGGAGCAAGCGAGCAGCACCAAGCACACAGCAGCAAACACCCCGGTGTCCGGCACACCAAGGAGAGCCCTACCCTTGCTCAGCCAGGGCCAAAAAGCTTCCCCCAGATCTTTAAAAGCAGCCCAGCTCCTCCATTTCAGGACAGCTACCTGCTCCGAGCATCCCCTTGGGGGTTTTACCTCACCCACCAGCAACCAAAATGGTTTCGTTGTGCCGGGCTGTCCCCTTGAAAATCCATTTGGAGGGCTGGCGTGGCACACAAAGGGTTACAGGTGAGAGGTCAGAGGAGGGGGAACGACTGAAATCGCCTTTTTTTTGTTGTCTTAAATGAGCAAGGGATGGGGGAAGCTTCGTCTGCTCCCTCTGCATCGGGCTGTGCCCCCCAGGACGGGCTCAGCCAGGAGCAATGGGACCATCCTGCCCACTCATCCCATCACCGGCGACACCGGCGAGAGCCGTAGGGCACCGTGGGGACCCCAGCCCCCCCATTTCCTTGGGCAGGGACACGTTATGGGAGGACAAAGCATCCCGGGTCCCATCCTGCAAACCCCCCCACGGCTCTCACCACCCCTCCGCTGCCGTTGGCCATGGCTTGGGCGCAACACAACCCCTCCTCAACCCCCAACGGCGCTGCCTTCAAAGCACCTCCTCCTCCCATACGTCGCCCCCATTTCCAGCATCTTTGGGTTGAAAAATGGCCGGGGAGGGTTTGGCAGAGGAGCCTCGCGCAGATTATTCAACAATTGTTTCCCATTTTGCGCCCTCGCCTGCCTCATCCTCCAGTAACAATGACGAAGAGCGGCGCGGAGCCAGCGCCCGCGGCAGGGGTGTTGAGATCAGGGACAGCACAAAAATATCTTCTCTCTGGAACAAATATTTACCAACCCTTCTGCCTTTTGTTCTTGTGGTTCTCATATATTTTTTTTTTAATTTTTTTTTTTTTTTTTTTTTTTCCAGACATTCACTGGCAAAATGTCACACTAAGCAGCAACCCAGAAACTTCGGGGTAGCTGCTTGGCTGCTCTGGGCTTTGTTTTTCTCGCGCGCTAATTGTTAATGAATTTCCAGCCATTCAAACCAACGCAAACCTGTGAGAAAATAAGCTTTTTCGCCCTGATTTCAGAGCTTTATGGCGCTTCATAAAATCCAGGCAGATGCTGAGCAAAACGTGCATCATCCCGCAGCATGGGGTGATGGCGGTGCCGGAGCCGGCCCCGGGTGGGATGTGGCAGAGCCAGTCCGGGAGCTGGGAGGGATTTTCTGGGACTGCAGCAGCGTGGTCCCCACTCCCGGGTGGGAATGGGTTAAACGGGGGTACATCCCGGGGTACCCTCAACCCTGGCTGACTCCCCACAGATCGTCCTTCTCCCCACTCTACCCCACAGCAGTTTTTTTTTTTGTTTTCCTTCAAAATCATAACACCCCTCATGTCCACTTTTTATGGTGGCCAAACAAGAGCACGTGGGTAATTTATGGGCGTTTTGTTTAAAGAAGGGAGGGGGGGGAAAAAAGAAAAAAACAACTCCTCTTCTGGCACATAAACTTCTATCTCTGGTTAAAAATTAACTGTGGCCATAAAACCCCCGATGCAGGAGCGAGCAGAGCTCACCCCACGAGTGCTGCCGGGCTGCCGCCCCGCCGGCCACCGTCCCCTCCTGCCCACCCCGAGATGGCCCCGCCACCCCCAACCTGCCCCCACCGCCTCCTGCCCCTCTCCCTGGGGCTCTTCCAGGGCGTCCTGCTCCTCTTCTTCGCCCTCTTCATCACCTATGATGAGCCCTCGGCGCGGGTGGAGGATGCCAACGTGGTGGCCAACCGGCTCTACGGCACCTTCCCCCTCTTCCAGGACATCCAGGCGATGCTGGTGGTGGGGCTGGGGCTCCTGCTGACTTTCCTGCCCCGCTACGGGCTCAGCGTCCTCACCCACAACTTCCTCCTGCTCAACTTCTCCACGCAGTGGGCGCTGGTGCTGCAGGGCTTGCTCCATCACTTCCACCACGGCCAGGTCCACCTGGACCTCCACAACCTCCTCACCGCCGAGTTCGCCGCCGTGACGGTGCTCATCTCCGTGGGAGCCGTCCTAGGGAGGACCAGCCCCTGCCAGCTCCTCGTCGTGGCCACCTGCGAAGTCCCCGTCTACCTCGCCAGCGAGTGGGTCATCATCACCCACCTGGGCGTCCTGGATGCGGGGGGCACCATCACGATCCACGTCTTCTCCTGCTACTTCGGCCTCGGCGTGTCCAAGGCTCTGTTCGGGGCGGCGCGGCAGCCGGTGCACCCCAAGGAGACCCCGACACCTCGCTCCGACCTCCAGTCTCTGGTGGGGATGCTCATCCTCTGGGTCTTCTGGCCCAGCTTCGTGGCCGTCCTCTGCCAACCAGGAGATGCCCAGCGCCGCGCCATCCTGAACACCCTCCTGGCCATGAGCGCCAGCGCCGTGACCACCGTGGTGGCCTCCAGCCTGCTGGAGAGGGACGGCAAGCTCAGCCCCGGCCACCTGCAGAACGGCAGCTTGGCTGGCGGGGTGGCCATCGGCGCGGTGGCCAACATGACCGTGCCGCCGGTGGCCGCCCTCGCCCTGGGCAGCCTCTCGGCCGCGGCATGCGTCCTCGGCTTCAAGTTCCTCACCCCGCTCCTGGCGAGGAAGCTCGCGCTCCAGGACCAGTGCGGCATCCACAACCTCCACGGCCTGCCCGGCATCCTCGGTGCCGCGGCCAGCGCCGTGGCCGTCCTGGTGGCCTCCGAGGACACCTCCGCGTCCCGTTTCTCCCAGTTGTCCGGGGGCAACGCCAGCGAGGTGGCACGGGGAGGGCGGGGGGACCGCGGGGCGGGCAGGCAGGCGCTGTGCCAGGCGGCGGGGCTGGCGGTGGCCGTCGGCGGCTCGCTGCTGGCCGGGCTGCTGGCCGGTGCCGCGCTCCGGCTGCCCTGCCTGGCCCGCCCGTCCCAGCGGCTCGCCTTCGACGACTCGTTGTATTTTAAGATCCAGGATGAGGCCGAGAGCCCGGGGCTGGGCTGCACCGCTGAGGAAGAAGCCCTGGCTCTGAAGGAGCGGGTTTAAGGCGCCGGCATGCGTGCAGCCACGGTGAGGGCCAGGGGACCGGCTCGGGGGGCCGTAACTTTCTGCCCCCCATCACCCACGGGTAGCAGCGGGCAGGAGATGCCGCCTGTGCCCGCACCCTGCCCCGCGCACAGCCCGAGGATGCTGGCAGGGCTGGGGCAGCACCGTGGCACGGGTCCCTTCTCCATCCTCCCCACCCTGCGGCTGTGAGCCCCCTCCTCCGCGGCGGCTGCTCCCAAGACCCCTCCAACCAGAGAAACAACCTGCTCAGGGTGTCAACCCCGGGACGGGTCACAACCCCCCGCCGCAGGGCACCGGCACCAGCTCCTTCGCTCTCAGCGGGCAGCGTCACCCCGCGGTGCCCACCCTCCCACTCAGGACTCCCCTGCCCACGACAGGCAGCACCCAGCGAGGGCTGCCGGCTCGCTGCCGGCCTCAGCCACAGGGCACCGGGCTGGGATCTCCGCATCCAACTGCCTGGAGGGTGGAAACGCAGCGGCGGGGTGAGCTGAGCTGAGCTGAGCTGGCCCCAAGCGAAGGGTTTTACGGGGATTTGATAACCTCGCGCCGGGCAAGCCGCTCTCCGGGGCGCTTTGCAAAGGGAGGTGCCGCCTGTTTTTTTACCACCGGTGCAGCAAGCGGCGATGAGGACGCGGGCCAAGCACGGCGAAGAGCCTCAGAGTGAGCTGGGATGCAGGAGGGACCCGCGCCCCACAGCACCCTCATCCCACCCCGAAGCTGGGGCTGGGAAAGCTGCGCCAGCATTCCAGGGTGCTGGGGGGGGGGGGGGGCAAGGAAGAGCAACGGCCTCGTCCCATCCCACCCCGGGCAACGAGCCGCTTCCACCCTGTGGAGGACAAAGCCTGCGGTCCATCGCTGGCATGCAGCAAGCTGCGAGCACGGGGCCGCATCCTGCCCGGAGAGCGAGGGCTGTGATTCACATCCCCCCCCCCCCCCCGCCCCTCCGCGCCCCCCCCTCCCCATGAGTCACCGCTGCCCCTGCGCCACCACGGATCCCGCTGCTGCGGAGACAATGTCGGCGATGCTCATGGGCTCCCGAGGGGGGTCGAGGCAACCAAACTCCCCCCCACACACACACACACACCTCCCAGAGCCGGCCACAGGAGCAGGGGGCTCACAGCGCGGTTGGGGGTCCCCAACCCTGAGCTGGTGGGAGCGGGGCTGGATCCCCCTCCACCCGGCGTGGCCCCAGGCGGAGCCAACACCAAGAGGGAGCGCGGCTGGGGAATTCGCCCTCCAATAATCACAAACAGGCTCGGGGGCCCGGGAGTGTTTGGTTAATTGTTAGAATAAAATATTGCCGAGCTCTGACTGACAAAGGAATCCTGCCCCGCAGCCCCGCGCGGCCGAACAATGGGCCCCGGCGCAGGATGCCGTGGGCCGAGCAGCGGAGCCGGGGGCCACGGTGGTGGGGAGGCAGCTCTGTCCCCCCTCCTCCCGCACCCCAGCTGAGCCCCTCGGGTTTCTCGGCACCGACGTGTCCCCGTGCCGGTGTGGGAGCCACCGGGTGCCCGCTGGCCGGCACGGAGGGGGAGCGGGGTCCAGCTGGGCCCCTCGCCGCTGCCCAACTCCCGCTGGGCGTCGAGGGCCGGGGGAGCCAGCGCCTGCCCGGGGGAGCCGCGATACCATCGGGGCCCGGATCGGCAGCATCCAGCCTCGGTGCGTGCCGGTGCTCCCACTGAGCCCGGCATCCCGGACCCGCTGGCTTCCCCCCCCCCCCCACCCCTGCCCTGTGCCAAGGCCCAGCCGGCTCCAACGCCCGGCTCCGGCTCCAGCTCCGGCGGCGGCGGGGCAGGAGGGTGCACGGGGACGGTGGCACCGGAGTGGGGCGGGGGGCTGCGGCCACCACCCTCGGGAAGCAGCCGTGGAGAAGGGACCACACGCGCACACCCACGCCACAACGCCACACGCACGGCAGCCACGTGTGCACGCAGAATCGCGGGCACGTATACATGCGTGTACACACGGGTGCACACTCACATGCATGGGCAGCCCTCCCCCCCCCCCCCCCCCCTCCCAGGCTGCAAACCCCTTTGCTGGCAGAGCTGCTCTCCAGCATCACCCAGTCCCTCCCCGGTCAGGGCGCAGTCTCCCGCCGAGCAGCCCAGCGAGGGAGCGGGCGGTGGGGAGGGAGAGCACCCGGAGCTGGGCCGGGCTGCACCCCACCTCTCAGCTGCCACGTCCTGGCACGGGCCCCCCGTGCCCCAATCTGGTCAGCAGATGCCTTCAAAAGCACCAACGGGCCCACAAAACGATGGGAGCTGGGGGGGGGGGGGGGGGGTGTGGGGGGGGTGGTCAGCACTTTCCCACTGCCCAAAAGGGCTCGGGGGCACCCAGTATCCCAGGACCCACGTGGGTCGTGGCACCGCTCCACGCAACCCCCGCTCCCGGCCGTCCCCGTCCCCCCGGGACCCGCTGTCCTCCAGCTGGAACCGGGCAGCGATGCCGCTGGGTGTGCCGCCCCGCGCCCGGCTCTCCCCGCTCCTCCAAACCAGCCGCTCTCCAAAGGATGGAGCAGTAAAATATTCAGCAGAGCCCCCCAGCGTTTATCACACCGTAAATCTGGGCTTTCAACAGCTTTACGATGCTGCGGGGAGATGGGAGAGAACAAAACGCTGCTCTGCTTCGTCAGGCACAGCCTGCGTGTGCCAGGCCCCCAGCTCCGCTCGCGAGGGGGATAAGGACTGAAGCAGGGGGCTCATGTGGGTGATGGCCCCCCCGGCCACCAGCCAGGGGGGCTGCTGGCGCCCCAGGATGGTGACGGCTCTGCTCCAGCCCAAGGGCAGCTGTGTTTTGGTGGGCTGGTGATGGTGCAAAGGGGTGAAATGTGCCTTGGGCATCAGCTCTGTGAAAATGCAGCGGGGACCGTACCCCAGCATGCTCCCCGGGCACGGTGTCCCAGTATGGTACCCCAGTACGGTCCCCTGGTACAGTCCCTGGGAACTGCACCCCAGCAGAGTCCCCCAGTATGGTCCCCCAATATGGTCCCCGGGCACGGTACCCCAGCACAGTCCCCTGGCACGGTCCCCAGGCACACTGGGGTCTGCTGCTGCCTCCGAGCTCAGCCCGCAGCCGGGTTGGGGTGCAGCACGCCGGTCCCAGCAAGGAGCACCCGTCCCCATCCCCGCAGCCCCGGCAGAGCTCACCGCTGCCCCCCCCCCCCCCCCCCCATCTCCCAGCGGGCCCCCGCCGCGATTGCAAAACCAGCGGCGAGGGGAGGAAGCCGTGATTGCGCTGTTTGCGCCGCGCTCGGATGCAGCTGGCAGGGCGATCAGCCGGCGCGGCGGCACATGGCACCAGGCGGGAGGCGAGGGCACGGCGAGCAAACCCCCCCCCCACTCCCAGCCCCACTCATCCCCCCCCCCCCCCCCCCCCCCCCACCGTGCTCTAACACGCGCGTGTGCAGCCTTTACAACACACGTGCTCCTCACATCCCCGCAAAACTGCCTGGCCCGTGGCCCGGGTGGGCTTGCACGAGGCGTGCGTGGGCCACGGGCAAGGTGGGGAGCTGGCGGGGCGCTGACCGGCTGCCACGGTGTGAGAGGGGGGTTTTGGAGGTGGGGGGGGGTAACACCCCACGGCAGCAGCGGCTGCTGGAGCCACATCACAGCACCCCCCGCCCGGAGCACCGGGGAGCGTGCGGTGCTGCCCTCGAAGGAAATGCGCTCACTCCCATGTGCTGCACACTTGGGTTCGCCTCGCTGCTATTTTTATTTGACTTTTCAGGGCCCGTTTCCTTTTTCCGGCTGTTTTTTGCTGCGATTCCACCATCGCTTCGACCTCGCTTTTCCCCTCCCTCCCTTTTGCCTCTTCCTCCGCTCTTTCCTTCCTTTCCATGCGCTCATTCCTGCCGCCGCACCGGGTTCCCTCTCCCCCCCCCCCCGGCTCCCTCCCCGCAGCCAGCGCTCGTGGCGAGCCCACGGCGAGCGTGCCCGTGCCCGTAAACCCCCACGAACACCAGCGCACGCTCCCCACGGCCACCCCGATGCTGAAACAGCAGCACCGGGTGCCCGGCGGGGGGGTGCGCAGGCACCAGGCAGGGATTTCCCAGCTCAGCAGCAGCCGCTCTCCCGTTGCTGCCTGCAAGGGAAGGTGAATGAACGGGGCCGGTTATTGCTCCGTTTTATCTGGGAAGGTGCTGACGGTTCAGTGCGGGGCCCGGGGGGGGGGGGTGGACGGGACTTTGCTCCAGACTTGACGCAGAAAAAGGCGGTGAGTCACCCTGTCCCATGCCACCGTCCCGCTCACGCCGGTACACAAGCCGCTGGGTCCCCAGCGGGCCCCCCAGCCCCGTCTGAGGGATATAAAGCAGCAACAGGGTTATTTTGGGAGGTGTGTGGGGGGGGTGGTGTTACATTTGGGGGTGGTGGTTGGGGTGAAGAAGTAGGAAAACCTGAACCTAAACCAGTGCAAACCCCTCCCCGTGGAGGCAGCAGAAAGGGCAGGAGGAAAAGGCGGCAGCGTTTGAGCCCCGTCCCCCATCCCCGGGCACCCCGAGGAGGAGGATGGAGCTGGGAGGAAGACCACCATGGTGGGGCCAGCTGGGGGGGGGGTGGGCGGTGCAGCTCTGAGATGCCTCTGGCATCGGGATGTGCCGAATCGCAGCTCCCCGGATGGGCCCCACGGGCCTGATCCTGCTAAACACCCCCAGGCCCTGGCAGGACCCCACAAGAGCAGCCTGAGCACCCCCCCTCCCCCCCATCCCGGCTCTCACCCCCAAACCAGGGTCCCTGTTCTGCCTCATCAAACCAAGGGGCCCATCCTGCACCCTGCTAAACCCCAGGGGCCCCAGTATGCTGGGGGGGGGGGCGCTCCCACCCACTCGCAATAATGCAACCCCCCACCCCACCCCAGGCTCCTCTCCCAGTCCAGGTCCCAGAGGCAGAGGGTGGGCAAGGACCCCTGAGCATCCCCCCCTCACCTCCAGCCAGCTGCTTGAACCCCCAGAGAAAGCCCCAGGGAATGGTGCCCCGCCAAGGTGCACGGGTAGGGGTGTCCCCCCCCACCCCCCCCCAGCTGCAGCCCCACTGGGACGTGGGGACGGGGCCAGGGGATGCTGGCGTGGCCGTGGCCCAGGCCACAGGGACACACGGCCGTGGGCAGCCGTCCGGCTCCGCTCAGCGCTCGCAGCCCACTGCTGCCATCTCGTGTCCTCGACAGACGTCCCCACAGCCTCCCCCCCCCCCCCCCCACGGCTGTGACAGCATCCACCCAGGTGGAGAGGGCGTGGGGGAAACTGAGGCAGGGGCACAACGCCAGCTCTCCCTCCCTGGCCGCTGCTCCGGCCCTGCCCGCGGCACAGGGAGGGGGAACAGCCTCCCCAAAAAGCATCCCTCTGTCCTCCACCGCCCATGCACCAGCATAAGCGTGCAGGATGGGGCCCCGTGGGCCAGGGATGCAGGCACGGGGGGGCAGAGGCACGATGGCACGGTGCTCACCGCCCCTGCCTGCCTCTCCCCAGGCTTGCACAGCCCCTGCACCATGCCCGGACCCCTCACCGTGCCAGCCCCATCCACAGCACAAGAGCCCCTGGGGCAGCAGATGAAGCACCCAAAAGGCTCCCAGGGAAGGAGAGGTTTTATTTCTGGCCTCCCCGAGACTGTTTGCCACCCAACAGGGGAGCGGGGACCCCCAGCCAGGCAGAGCACAGTGATGAAGGAGGATGCTCCTCATCTCACTGAACGCCGCATCCCTCCGGGCTCGGCTCACTGAGGGGGGTGTTGGGGCACCCACAGTGCCGAGCAGCCAGATCCTTCGGTGGTGCTGCCCATCTCCGAGGCCGAGCCTTGGCCTCAAGCCCTTCCAGCTACGTGGGGTTTTGCTCTTTGCAAGCACCAGGGTTCCCCGGGTGCCCAGTGATGCACCCCAGCTTCCCTGTCCACAGTGCAACAGGGACACGTGTCCCTCTCCACAGCCCAAAAGTCACCCCCAGAGCCCTGGAGACGCGCAGTGATCCCGCTTCCAGCAGAGCCCTCCAAGCCACGGCCCCACGCGTCCTCTTTCTGCCCCCGCAAAAGCAACCGTTGTCCCCAAGGAAGCAGCCGGTGATGCAGGGCCAGGAGCAGCGCAGAAACCCAACGCCTCACCTCCTTTTTTTCACCACTTTCCCTTCTTCTCCCCCACGTTTCTGGCTTCCTGCCGCAGCCATCCCCCGGCAAACCGACCTGCCAGTCCCCACCACGTGCGGTGGGGCCGGTCGCCAGGTACCGCTCAAAACAGGAGGGTGACTTCAACTTGGGCGCCCACCGGTAGCAACTCCGCTGCCTTCAGGGTTGAATTTACCCCAGGTTTCCAAACAAGACGCCGGCAGCCACGGTGCCGGAGCAGCCCGTCCCTCCGGCGTGTGGCGAGGGCGTCCCTACGAGTCCCGGGGGGCACGGTGGGGTGCGTGCAGGGCGTAGAGCTTCTCCCAGCAGGTTGCCAGCCTCTCCGCCTTCCTCCCGATCTCCCGTAGCTGCTTCCTCCTGCGGCCGGGTCCCCTGTGCCGGGGCTGCGCCGGGACGCGCGGCAGGCTCTGCGGTTGGCGTGCCGAGGAAGCAGAAATATTCCCCCCCCCACCCCCCCGCCCCCCCCCATCACACAGGCGTTAGGGGAGCAAAAGCCACAGCGCCCGTGGGGTTTGCGTGGGCAAAGCTGCAGGCTGGGGGTGGCCAAGTTGCTCACGGGTCCCCCCCCAGAGCCGGCCGGAGCTGACAGCACGCACCCTGCGGCACATCCACGGATTGGGCAGACGGCCAGGCTGGGTCTGCAGGTCCTTTTCCAGGCCAGCAGCACGTCCCCCCCGCACCAGCAAAGCCCAGGCAGCGTTAGCCCCGGGCTGAGCTCCCCGGCGATGGCCGGGAGGACGACGCCAACACCGCGCCAAAAACCAGGCAGAGCCGGGGAACCGGCGCTCCACTGCCCCGGGGTTTCCCCGTTAGTTAATGAGCTGCTGGAGGCGGCCGTAGGGGATCCTCCCCACTGGGGTTTCCCCAGCAGAGCCCCGGGGAAGCCAGGGGAGCCCAGACCAGCCCTTTGGGGAGAAATCCCAGTTCCTGTCTACAAGCACCCAGGAGCGAGAACAGGACTGGGTGCGCCCACCCGTGGGGTGAGCATCCCACCAGGACGACGCTTTGGGTTCCCATCAGCCGTGGCACAAGTGGGCAAACCCACTCGGGAGCTGGCGATAAAACCCCACCAGCTTGTCTCACGCTGCCACAGCTGAGCTTCCCTCCGTGGCCAGTTTAAAGCTTTACTGGGATGTGCCATCAAACCCAGTAGGGACCTTCCCCGGCGCCTGGAGACTCCTCGTGGGCACCCACAGAGCGTGGGACAGGGCAGGCTCTGCCCGCAGCCCGCGTGCTGGGGAACTGGGAGCCATTGGGGTGACCGGGAAGGGGCAGGGCTCCCACCTTGCTGATTTTCCTGCAGTTCTCCCGGAGTACAAAGTCGGTGTTACTGGCCACCTTCCGCACGGCCAGCTCCTCGGGGCTGCGCAGGGTGCCGGCTGCCACCTCCCGCAGGGACATGCTGATGTTGTAGATGGAGAGGAGGATCTTCTGGTCCTGGAGAGGAGAGAAGCACGCAGCCCCGGGCGGGGAGAGGGGGGCTCAACAGCTCCCCAGGGGCTCAGCCCCCACGACACCCCAGCCCCGGGGTCCCTTGGTGCTCACCTTGTCTGACCGACAAGCCGGCCCAACCCTTCCACTCCTGTCTGCCGATCCGCTCAGGTTTTTCTGGAAAAATAAAGCAAGGAGAAGATCGGGCGCCCCAAAGCATCCCCCGTGGGGCAGGAATCCCCCGTTTAAACACAGCGCTCTCCCCAGAAACGCCAGCAAATACGAAGCTTCCCAAGCTCATCCCTCCCCACCCATATCCTGCGGCGGGGCCGCATCCAGCTCGGCAGCGTCCCCCGGCGTGGGGAGCTGGCGCCCCAGGCAGACCCTCGTCCCCACTCACCAGGTTCTGGATCTCGTAGAAGATGACGGCGCGGTACTGCCGGAGGATTTTGGCAATGCTGCACCTTTTGCCTCTGCTCAGCACGGCGACGAGCAGGAGGAGCAGAACAGCACAGGAGAGCGCCCGGGGGAGAATCTGCACAGGGAAGAGCTCAGCGTCAGCCGGGGGGAAACTGGAGATGAAGGGATGCTCCAGGCTCTGCCATCAGCCCCTTGCCACAAGCCTCCATCAGACCTATCCCTGGCTTGGTCTGTCCCCAAGCTCTCCACCCCAACAGGGTCCTCAGTAGCTCCCAAGCTTGTGGCACTTCAAGGCCAGACCCATCAAAAATCAAGAAGAGCAGAAGGGGATGTTGCCCTGCTCTTTGGAGAGGAGCTGGAGGCAGGGAGCCACCTGATTCCCCACCAGGAAACCCTCCACATCTCGATGTGAATGGTTTCAGGCGCTCTCAGAAGGATGCTCTCCGCACCTCCACAGACCCCGCAGCGTGGACACAGTTATTCAGTACTTTTCCAGCTCCCACGCAGCCCCCCTGCTCGTCCCAGGCTCGGGTACCCTCGCACAAGAGCCAGACAGAAGCAGCACAAGCATTTGCTCTCGCCAGCGTGACCCGGCTGCCTCCCAGCCTCCTGGCTCCAAGCCTTCCCGGCAGCCCCGAGCCAGTCCCAGCAGAGCGGGGAAACCCAAGCGCTGACATCCGAGCTGGCGAGGAGAGGGCAGCCGGACCCTCCGAGGGATGAAGCCCAAGGCTTTGAAGAAAAGCCAACACAACCTCAGGTGACCGGGACTGGGAATATTTGAGCAGTCCCACAGCAGCAGGGCGAGGACAGGAACCGCGATACACGCACAGCATCTGCCAGGAAAGGAGCCTGGCAGTTCCCGTCTCCGCATCGCTGAGCGATGCCACGGCGCTGGGGCCCCATCCTGGCACCAGAGCATTTCTATCATCTCCCGTTTGCAGGAAAACACACACCCCCACCCCCCCCCCAACCCTTTCAAAATCCCTCTCTCACTCCCCCGCCCTGGATGTCATGTCTGGGCAGGCAGAAAGCAGCTCAGCTCCTTCCAAATATGCAACCCCTGCGCTGCAGCCAAAGCGCGAGCGAGGAGGAAGGGGCCGGCAGCTCTGCCTGCTGCCAGCATCTGCCTGCCCCAAGCCACAGCTCACATCTGGGGGGGGGGTCACTACCATCCCAGCCACATCTGGCTCTTGGGCTCGGCTTTTTGCTCGGAGAAGCCAGAAGGAAGAAGTTCCCCTGCTGAATTCCGAGCCCAGGCAGACACCATCCATCCTGTGCTTCGCTGTGAACCTGGAGGGTTTATTGGTAAAACCTGCATCCGCTCCGAGCTCCCCACTCGACGACGGGCTGCTCCCAGCTCCAAAAGGGTGAGGAAACTTTTCCCCACCCTCCCGCAGCTCAGCAGAGGCGACGGGGGCTTAACCCGAGGCGAAACCCAACACGCCACAAGTCTGGGAACCCGCGGACACAGGGGTCACTTCAAAGCAGGCGGGCGCGCGTGTGAGGAGATGAGCAAGTCCACGTGCAACCAGTACAAATCCCACTGGGCTCTGCAGCTTCCTTAATCACCACACGCCTTCCAGTAGAGCCGTGCTGGGTCCCATCCGGGGGCCGGGAGGGGTGGGGAAGAGCCTCCCCGTGCTGCTGAGAGATCTCACCCCAAAGGGTGATTCAGCAGAGAGCCGAGGGTTTAATCCTCAGGGAAACCAAAGGAGAGAGCTGCTTCCATGAGGACACCCTGTCCAAAGTCTAAGGGTTGATCTCAGGAAGCCTCCTCCACCGGGAAGACAAGGCCATGCGATTTTACCATTAAACTGAGAATGACTTCCCTGAAGTGCCTTATTAAACAACTGGGACCAAATTCCATGAGAAAGCACACCATTTACAGCATTTCCAGGCAGCCAAGCCTGGCACTGGACTCTCAGTCCTTAGCACGGGAGGAAGAGCAGCCTGCAGTTAAAAAAGCTCAGCGAGCAGCCAGGACAGGAGCCCGGGGGGTGCAGTGGGTGCTTCCCACGACCCTCTTAGAGAGCGAGGAAGCAGTGGTGACGAGAGAGGGATGAGGGGAGAAGCGACGCCAGCAAATCCCGGTCCCGGCTGTTGCTTCCCACCCTTCAGGATGGAGGAAGATAAGTTCAGCAGCTGATTTAGGGTTATCCCTTCTCCTCTTGCTCCCGTCCCCGCAGCAGCAAGGTGCAGGCAGGGCAGCTCTGGGGTCAGGCACGTCCCTTCCCGCGGGAGGGCTGGCAGGGAAGGAGCAGCCACGGGAACGTGGGTGCGGGACGGTCACAGCCAGCTCCCTCTGGCAGGGGAAGCTAATCTCTTCCTCAGCTCTAATCCTCCAGCAAATACGAGGAGATAAGGCAAATCACCATTATTGACAGAGCAGCTCCTGGTAGCACTCGTGCTAGCCACAGCTACCCAGGCTGCGAGGGGCAATGCCTGCGCCTGGCCGGGACCGTCACTGGGGTCCCCAGGTCCTGATAGCCAAATGGGCCCTGTCCCCAACCCCTTCCTAATCAAAGGGACCCTGCCACCACCACCCCACCCCCCCCCAAGGGGCCCAGCAGCCCCGGGCAGGGACAGACCCTCCATCCTCCTCCCCAGTAACCAGCCAGATCCAAGCCCCATCCCAGCCACAGCAGCCCAGTCCCTCCGGACCAGCCCTCCCAGATGTACCGGAGCCCCTTCCCCACTGACTCCCAGCTCCATCCCGCCACCGGACAGCTCCCCCCCTCCCAACCCAACCCAAGCCCCATCCTGAGCCAGCCCAGCCCCCTTCCGACCAGCCCGAGCCCTTTTCCCGGTCGATCCAAGCCCCATCCCTGAAGAACCAGCTGCGCCCCGATGGGTCCCAAGCCCCATCCCGGCCAAACCGACCCCATCCCGGGGGAGGGCTCCGGGCTAGCGGGGAGGGCTGGGGGGAGCGGGACGCCCTCACCCCCACCCCCCCCCCCCACCCCCCAAGATCCGCAACCCCCGGGAGGGGAAGGGGAAGGGGCAGCGGCCCCGGCGCACTCACCATGGAGCCCCGCGGCCGCCCCCGGGGAGCCCGGCCCGGCCCCTGCGCCGCGTCCCGCGGTTTGAACTTGGCTCCACGGTGGGAGGGGACGGGCCCGGCCGCCGCGGGGAAGGGAAGGGGGGGAACGGGGAGGGATGGGGGGGGGACGGGGACGGGACACGGCGGCCACACCGCCGCCAGCCCAGCCCCGGCCCCCGGCATCGCCTCCGGGCCACCCTCCCCCCTTCCCCCCCGGGGCCACCGGCTGCGGTTCCCCGGGGGCGAGCGCAGAGCCCCGGGGAGGGAAACTAGAAAAGGGGGGGCTCGGGGAGCCGGAGTTGGGGTGGCAGGGACGGATCCTGCTGCAAGGGAGAGGAGGAAAAGCTCCCTCTGCGTTGAAGGGCCCAGCAGACGCAGCACCCCCCCCCCCCCCCCCCCCCCCGTTCTCACGCACCCCGAGATCCAAAGCGACGAAAGTCCCCGAGCGGAGAGGAGGGTTGGGGCTGTTTTGTGCTGCAAAGGTGTGCGGGAGCCCGTTTACAGAGAGCAAACCCCCCCCCCCCCCCGTCCCCAAGTTTCGATTTCTGGTAGCGTTTGTGGTGATCGTTATCATCCTGGATTCACAGCCAGCGGCTGGCTCGCACCAAAACTGCACGCCCCGTACGGCAGAAGCGACTGTCCAGAGCAAGACCCCTCAAACACCCACATGCACGGTGTCCCCTTGCTTTCAGCCACAGCCCCCCCGCCCCCCTCTCCTCTTTCCCCTCCGAGTTTCAAACAGCCACACCACCAGCACCGAAAACTGCCCCGACTCCATTTCAGTTGCTTTTCTAGAAGATGCAATGGAAAAAAAAAAAAAAAAAAAAAAAAAAAAAAAATGAACCGACAGCAACAAGGCTCCACCAAGGAGCTGAGCACGTGCGTTTTAGTAAAAGAAACGGCTGGATAATCCTGCTCTCAGCTTGGCAAGAAAAGTTCCTCCATGCAAAATGGGAACACCACAGCATATACAACATACCGCTGCAGACAGGACCCATATAACTTGTTTATTGAGCTCTATATATAGTTAAAATTTGTAGATGCCATAAGCGATTTAACAAAACACGAAGACATTTACAAACATTAAAAGGCTCTAAGATTGATGATCCCTTTTGTCTAAAAAAAAAAAAAATAATAAAATAGTCCCAAACCCAAGGAATGTAGCCCCCCTGAGCGGATACACGGAACTGGTGGCAAAAGGAGCTCAGGGCTGCGAGGCCGCGGTGCAGCACGTCTCGGTGCGGGGAAACAATCTCTCCTCTCACCACCCACAAAGAGCAACGCTCCTCCAGCAAGTCCTTCCCATGCGTTTTTCTCAATCCCGGGACTTTTGGGTGGCCAACAAATCCTTAAGGGATGGGGCGCTGCCACCCGAGCGAGGGGCAGGGGAAGCGCGCGGATCCTGAGCGCTGGGTGCGCGCCGAGTGCCTGGCTCGAGGGAAACGCTCCAAACGCTCAGGAGGAGTCGGGAGCTTTTCCAGCGAGAAAAGCCACCCCGCTGCGGTTCCAACCCTCCCGCCCCATCTCAACTCCACGGCCACCCAACGAGAGCACCGCAGGGCAGAGGGACCTGTGTGCCACTGGCACGCAGCTTTCCCAAGCGCATCGCCACGCCAGGGAAGCGCCGATTTCCCTTCCCAGAGGAGCGGGACCCAGTCCCCACGTCCCAGCGCTCGCACAGATCGTATCAGGGAGGAAGAGCAAAAACGGTGCGAGAAGCACAAGGGGCTGCAGCACAACACGCACTGGCAACTATTTTTTAACATTTTTTTTTTCTCCTGCAGTTTCCGGCTCAGTCTCAAAATCCTTGTCCAGCTGTGCTCCCTTCCCACAGGTCTACCCTTTCCTTTTCACAAGAGTGATGTCTCCGTTCTCCCCCACAAACTCCTCTCCCTTCCCCTCTGCAGAAGCCCACATACAGGAAGGATGCCAAGGATGGCGTGAAATCCCAGAGCAAGAGTCTCTCAACTCCCAACACCTCTCACTCACCTTTGGGAAACTACAATTCCATGGGACATCCGTGATCTACACCCTCCTTAATGCAACTGCAGCTTCCCACATTTTCACCAGCTATTCAAGAGAAAGCACAAGAGTTTCCGTTATAAACCCAAAGAAAAACAGGCTTTTGCTTCAACACCAACCGTTTATACTTCAGTGTTAAAAGATTCAGGCTTCTCATCCTTTTTGGCAAAAGGCTGCAGCCCAACTTGGTGTAACCACCGCTGGCAGATACGTTCCCAGAGTGGTGGGAGCCTGATAAGCTCAAAGGTTTCCGCTATCAGACCCCCAGTCAGTCAAAGGGCAAGACCACATTCAAAGAGAACGTAAGGAAACAAAAAAAAACAAGCTGTATTTTATACATATTGTCCAAACAAGTGATAAGGGGTTTTCTCCTCTGACTAAATACATTATATAATGCACATACACAGACTTGGATACTTTTGCTATGAACTAACATGTAAGACATTACAGCTTTTCATTCAATGATCACAAGAAAGTCGGGCTTCTGGGGGTCAAAATAACACAGATGGTGAGGGTAGGAAATTGAAGACAGCTTATAAAGGGTCCCAAACACAAAGCTTTTCCTCACATGAATTTGCTTTTTTCCATTTGCACTGGAAGAGAGTCATCCCAAACATCCCAAGCAAGAGCAGTTGCCACTGTAAAAGTGCACAGTCTCTCAACAACTCTGAGTAAAGGTTGTTTCTTCAAAAAGGCCCTTCAGGGATTGCTGGATTTTGCCTTGTTCCTTCAAAATACCACTATGCTTAATGAAATCAGACACCTAAGAGAGTAAGGTTATACTATATACATTTAAAAAATTGAGGAAAACGTCTCTAAAAATACACTCTTGGGTTTCACAAAATGCTCCATCTGCTCAGGTTTGAGGAATACTTCCGAGTTGTGCTACAGCTTGCCAGCAGAGGAGGGACCATGCCAAACCAGGCTCATGGCAAAAAAATAAAAAACCAAGAGGGGCCAGCCCAGCCCTTCCCCGGGGCTGCTGGCCTTCCAGAGCTCCACTCGCCTCCTTCAAGGTCATTCAATGTATTCAAACCACAACCAACCAGCATCAGATGGGCCAAACAGCAGAGAAACTGCACAAAGGGGGGCAGGACTGGACAGGAATGCATGCTAGGGAAGAAACCAGAGGAACTGCTAAATGTCAGATTCCATACAAGCACTAATTAAAGCTTATATTTACAGGGGGGTGGGTGTGGGGGGGTTCAGGCCTCAAAATGAAAATGCCAAGGGAGCCTCACAAGACTGCTCATCTGTCCTACGCGACACCAGCAACAACGGTCAGATGTGCTGCAGAAGGTGATGACCGCGCCGTGTGAGCCAAGAGGGCTGTCAGTGGGAGGAGAAGGAAGCAGCTTTTCTTTTTGGAAGAAAGATCTTTCATATCACCACCGATCTCCTGCCCTCCGAAATCTGTCCCACCAAAAGGGCGAATGCACCGAAAGCAGGTAAGCAGACAAGTCCTACAGAGACGACTAACGCAGCTGAAGCCAGCGTACTCTAGAAGGTATTTTTAAGCTTGGCTGCCACAAGCACGAGAATTTCTCCAATCTTTTTCTGCCAATTCTCTATGTCCTTGGAGACATCACACCAGAGCTCTCCGTGGCGAGGTTCAGCATTCTCACAGCGCTTCCTCACCTCTTCTTGTTGTTCCTACAAGGAAGAGAAACAACAGTTTGCAAGTCTCATAATGCCCTGGTTTGTTCCAGCACAGAGCCAAAAGTTTAAGAATTCCCTCCCCAATTCAAACACTCCTCCAAAGCTTATAGTGGGTTTTTTGTTTTGTTTTTTTAAAGGCAGTACAGAAGCCTGAGTAAAAATGCAGAGGCAGCAACTCTCCTGCCCTTGCTGAACAAACTGGCCGAATTAGGGTCAAGCAAGTTTTGGCTACACCAGAGAAATTGCAGCAGAAACTTCCTTTCCATTACCACCTGCCTAAGATGTCAAGCGAGAGGTCTCTCTGAAGTCAGAAGATAAACACTCCCATCATTTCAGTACTATCAGGCAGTAAAAACTGCCGCAAGAGATTAGAACAGACTGTTCCTCTGGCCAAGTTCACATGCAACCTGTACTTGACACTTGTGAAGAAACTGGACTAGTCACACAAACCCAGCATCGCAATTACAGAAAAGTCTCCCACGAGAAAGCTTGGATCTTACAGGAGGAAGATTGATTTCATAGATTTTTGCACCAACTAGCATGACTGTGGACAGCACAGCAGCCTGAAAGATAGCTCAGCTAATGACAGAGCCTTTTAAAAACCATCACACAGGCCCGTTCATGCTCATTCGTGCCCAGGCGTGACGGCCGTAGCCTCGTCTGCGAGCCACACAGGCAGCAGCAGCGTGCTCAGCCCAGCACCGCAGCAATCCCCGGGGCTGGGTAACCAGCAGCAGCCAGGGATTCCTGCTGCCTTCCCCAGCCCCCTGTTCCCAGGCACGCGCTCACCTCTGTGCCATGCTGGAGCTCAAATTTATAAAAGAAAGCCCAGGCGTCCCCAAGGTCAGAGTCTATCTTCACTGTTCGGTGGAACCATTCTCTGGCCTTGGTTATTTTACGCTCACTCCAGAACAGCCTGTTGAGAAAAGCAAAAGCGAGTTGACAAATAGCCTCTTTAGAGGAACGAGCCAATCTGTAAGCACTCCAGCATAACGGCTCTACAGACACTTTAGTTCTTTCCTCTCCCAAGAAGGAAACAGCAGATTTTGAAGGCATCTGCCGACTTCCCCTGGGAAGGGAAGAGATATGAGAGGACCAAAAAGAGCATCCACCGTTTCCTCTTTGCTCTCCGCACAGTGAAGCGGGTTAATTTAGCCCCGGGAAGAGACAGAGAGTCCTGAGAAGGGAAGTATTACTCTCTGAGCTCAATCCTTGCTAACTCAACTGCTTAATTTTGCTGTTCCAGATTTGGTGGAGAAAGACAGAGGAGCATATACCTACATCTATTTCCCCCCTTCCAATTTCTTAATATTTCATGTCAATTTTAGCACCTAACAATGAAATAACTTCTAAAAGCTGAAAATTGCATGCGCATTCCTGGAGCCACGGCCGCGTGCCGTCACACGTTCACATCCACGAAGCATGCTCTAAGTGGAGCAGACCTACCTTGTCAGCTCCAACTTTACGAGGAAAGGCAAGCACATAAGCTTCCACGCTCAAATCCCAGCCTGGCACCCAGCCCGACCTGCTGCCATTTCAAAAAGGTACTTGTGAATTCTGAAATTTCTCCCCAGTAATTAACCAGCTGAGTCAATAAGTCTCCTGGTTTCACTCCTTTGCATTAGAGTTCATTTGAGCTAGGAAGGTCTTTATCAAATCAGACAGCCATCCCTCATAAAGAGCTTAGCCAGTCATAAAATTATACAGCTTATGTGATTGTTTTTAAGCCCTATAATACTCCTGATTGTTCCACGTTAAATAAACTGTGATTTAAAAGAACGTGAACAATGATAGCAGAGGCTCAACACCTGCAAGTAGTGGCCATTTTCAGCACCATATTTAACAGAAGTTTTTCACAGATGTGTGACACTATGGTATTACTGTACCTCCATGCAAGTCGTGATGGGAGGTGGAAGCTGTTTGTGTTGGGATTAGCTGCTAAACTGTCTGAGGTTGCACCAGAAGGAGCCTGGAAGCAGTTTCCATAAAGCAAAAGTTAACATTTTTCTCACTTGCTGCTAGAGCTGAACAAGTCAGCTGTCATTATCTGGCAGAACCCAGCGTTGCAGTCACTGGAGTGTATCCTATAGTTTTCTTTGGCTTATAAAAAAGAGTTGTGAAAGAACTGGGCAACTGTTTGGGCAAAATGCTTCCTGCATTAACCTCTTCTGGTATTCATAAAGGAAGAAAAGTAAGTTTGTTCCAATCACGACTGCTGTAGTCGTTTGCACATCAGATCAGAAAGGGCATGGCGTGAGTCAATTATAATAGCGGCTTTTCATCACAGGAAGCCTCATAACTGGATCTAGACAAGACAACAGCTCCTAGCAGATTATCTTCCCCTTCCAGAGAAGCAAACTACAGTGTGACTGGTAGTCTGCATTCCAGGAAGGGCCACAACTGAAGAAAACTGACCTAGCGGGAATTCAGGAGGGGAGAAGAATCTAGCTCAGGATTAAAAAAAAAAAATAATAATCTGACAGGATAGAGAGAAAAGATGAAGACTACAGAGTCAGCCACGTAAAAACTGAAAAATAAACAGCAAAAATTGTCCCTAGTTTCACAAATACTTAAAAGACATCCTGTCAAACTTAATTAAGCCTAGTTCATCTGAAAGCACGCCAAAATCCCTTTTAAGGGGCAGAAAGGTAGCAATTTTCAGAGTGCTGATGCCCAGCACTGCAAAAGGACTGTGTGTAAACGTACTGCTGTCTGTGCCGCAGTCCCAGACCCACCAGAACAGCTTGAGGGCAGGCTGACATCCCCTGCTCCGATTCAAGGGAGACATCTGCACAGTTACTAGGAGACAGCTTGAGAGCCGTTACTTGCTTTGGGGCTCATTAGAGCTGCTGCAGCCAGAATCACGTGGCCGTGCGTGAGTGCAGCGTTTCACCACGGATGCAGCCACACACACAAAAGGGTAATTTTGCTACATCGAGCGCAGGAACTCACTTGGCCACAGCCAACAGGACGTGTGGGTCATGTTCGCACTTCTTGAGAGCATCCACGCTCTTGGTCTTTCGTTGCGGTCGCGCTTCAAGGAAAATCGCCTCTGACCACAGGATTCCTTCATCGAGTCAAGGAGGGAGATTGTTTAGTGTTATTTCTGAGATTAAGCCTCCCCGTCACGTTGCCAGGCCAGTGCTCTCAACACAAGCAGCGCCACTGCCCCCCGCCCTGGTAGTCATCCATGCCCCAACCTCACCCCACATCACTCTTTCTGCGTGGATCCTTCCTTCAGTACTCTGAATTTTTAGCTACCGCTTGCACCATGCCGGGACCTTCTGTTCCAAACATCTCTCTACCATAACCCTGCTGCAGCTGCAGCGCTCCCCGCACTGGTGTGCGCTAACCCGGAGCTCGTGCCTTTCGGACGAGACACGGCAAGCAGAGGGCACCTCAGCATTTCAGAAGGGAAAGATATTAAATTGTCTGAACGGGAAACTGCAGTGGCAGAAGAAGCCCCCGCAGGTGCAAAGTTCACCACTTGGAAGCAGTTTCAAGGGTGCCAGAGAGCACCACGGTTGCATTATTGATGCTGGCTCTCCACACATGCGATGAAGGACGGAGTAGGTCCAGGAAAGCCGGGTTTAATCCCTAGTTCCTTTCGCTGCCAAAAAGCAAGAAAGGAAATACGCTCAGAGGAGCATGAAATCTTCAGTTTCTGATGTCAGCCAACCATACCTGCTGATCATTTCAAAGCAAAGCCTGAAAGCTCGCGTCTGCCAGGACTCTATCAAAGTGCTCTCACTTCCCATAAACTGCACCATGGGAATATACACAAGCTTTGATGACTGCAGTGACAGACTGGAGCAGAACTCTTCTCTTCTTGCTCTTCATATATAGGGTCAAACTACATCTTTCAGGCCTTTATTTTCAGGCCTGCTGAGGACACAAATATATGAAATATAAAACTGAAATATGAGACCATCATATTTCAGTTTTACTCTGTACAGCCTGCCTACATCAGCCATAAGCAAGGGGGAGTCAATTCAGCAACTGATGGGCACAAGTCTCTGGTTTACATGACTGTAGGTACCCAACGAGCTGAGTCCTGCAGGCTTTTATTCTGGTTTGTAGAGTTTTAAGATGGAGTGGGAAGCGATTTTATTTAAACAAAAATTGAGATCCTGCTGCCCATTTCCATAGCAACAGGCAGATTCTGTAAAAAGCCTGTGATGGCAGACACTCATTAAGTATTAGGTCATTCACAAAACAAAGTGGGACTTGGGTGGTATTGCTTTGTTGACCCACTCGCATGGTGAGCAGCTTGCAATGAGTTTATCATGTCATAAAAGTCACTTAACTCCCAATTATTTCACTGGGACTTTAGCAGCTGGCAATTAAACACCTTTCAAAACCTAGCCTGAAGGCAAGCTATAAAGGCTTGCCTTGCAGTCAACTACTACACTTTGTAGTTATGTGACATCTTCTCTCCAAAGATGTCAACATGTTTAAATAATTAAGTCTTCCCACAATCCTGCCAAAAAATAGGGAAGCATTATGCACTTTGTCCTCCCATCCCAAGAGGCGAATGTTTCCACTGCTGGTTAGAACCAATTGACTTGCATCATAACCTATCTGCCTTTTCTTAAATGAGTTAAAATAATCAAAACCCAGGACTGAACGTTTATGGTACAGGAGCCCCTAAACCATGACTGCGACTGAAACTGGCTGCCAGCACAAGTTATTAAGCTCATAGTTAGTAGCGCAACCAGTGCAGGCAAACCAACAACGGGAAGTCTCTTATGGCCAACTGTACTCCAACGAGACAGGGAAAAACCCATTCTTTTTCCACTGAACTTCCTAACTACAAACACTTGAGAGTCTTCCATTCAATTTTCAACCTTGGCAGACTTCTACCGGCTTCAGAGAAAAGCCATTCCTACCCGAGATGCTTTCCCAGGAAAACTGGGAACAAACTGTGGACCACAGACCAAATAATATACTGGATACTGCAGCAAAACGGAACAAACACTAACCCATGACTTCTGTGACCTCTGGCGCGAGACAGCACAAAGCAACTGGGATTATTCACAAAGATCCTCAACATTTCATTTGCAGAAGGATGACTGACACCTCTCTAAAACATAATATTTTGAGATCTGGCCAGAAAGGACATCTTGGGGAAAGATCAACTGGGCAAAACAATCGTCTAAGATAGAACTGAGATCCAGCTCACCTGAATTGGGGCATTCTTGCAATGCCTTGGCCATCAGAGTATTTGCAATATTCTTTAGCCCAGCTCTGTACTCTAATCGCACAGACTCCAACCTGGCAAGGAAGAGATTCAGTGATGATATTTATGACAACATATTCACCATGTGGAAACAAATAGCAAGTCACATGAAGGTCACTGGGAATTGCAAACATCTGTCCATATTCTGAATACGTCTAGGTGACACATCCTCCCATTCCTCTCCATCTAAAACATGACCTTTATTCTATAATGGCCTAGATCAAAAACAATTTGAAAAAAGGACTATAACAGAAAAGAAAGATCCCTGGGGTTTCACGCTCTGTGCACTACAACTACCTGTAAAGAAATAACTAGTGCTCAGCTCCTTGGAGTAGCTACATACTAGCCAGGATCACCAAAACATTTCTGGTATTCAGAAAAAGTTGTTAGTCCAGAAAAAACTCTAGGATGGTCATACTCAGAAGTTCCAGGCTCAAATGGCTGAGATGATGTAAAACAGCTGGCCTGAAGAATTCACTGGCTTTGTAGCTCAACCGATCTCCACACAACTCACCAGAGATCTGGATTCTTTGGATTCTTTAGGCGAGACTTTTCCAAGATGGCTCTTGCCCTAGTCAACTGCCCAACTTTCTCCTCCAGCCTGGACAGCAAAAGCCACAGGGGTATGGAATGGGGGCACTTTTTCAACTGTTTAAGAGAAAAAAAAAAAAAAAAAAAAGTATGGTAATATGTAGATTTGGGAAAAAAAAAAAAAAAATCTTATAACCCCTATAGAAAAGAACTTCCCCCTCTACATCTTCCTGGAGAGTTCTGAAGGAGAGACAAAGTTGATTACATTGCTCAAATCTCTCCTAGTTAGTCTTACAGCACAGAACTGTACAGAAGTCAAGTTTCTCCTAGATTCAAAACAGTCGGGTACGCCAACTACGAGCAAGCTATCCCGGTAGCAAGAGAAAGAATACACCTCCCTTAATAATACAACTACAATTCGTGCTCCGTCTGGAAACAGAAGGCTCAAACATACCCAAACTGCAGCAACGGCGTGCAGGAAACAGAACTGCCTTTGGAGCTGGGGAAGCCATTCGGATATGGACACGGGCAGAAACCTGCTTCCACATTACTTTCATGGCTGAGGAGTTTCAGAAGCATTCATACCCAAGGACACCAATTACCATTTAAATGAGACACCAGCGCTCTGTAGGCCACCTCCTTCTACAGTGTGCATTTAAGATCTCCTTAGGAGGCTTTTCTTTTAAGAGTTCTGCTTTTAGTCTTTACAGGTCTCAGAGAATTATTGTGCAATGACTTTTTTCCTACCAGTGAGGAGACAAGCATACAGCAAACTCTCTCGAAGCAAGAAAGTGAATTTTGCACATGGATACTGGGAACAAAATTCTTGCTGCTTATTTCAAGGTCCAAATTTTTGCTTTGTTTCGTTATTGTTATAACTAATGACAGAGAGAACAGAAATCACCTCTTCAATTAGTCTGGGGCGGAACCCTCTCCGCTTTGATTCAAAGACAGACATCTCTCCACACCAGAAGCACAAAGCAAACTTGCAATAACATAAAACTTACCCCCTGATTATAAGCCTCCCGTGCTTTCTCTACCAGCTCCTTTTGTTCCTCGATTTGTCCCTTCATCATCCAGAGTTTGGGGAAGTCCTCGTAGTGCTTCAGGGCTTCTTCACAAAGCTCCTGGGCTGCAGCAATGTTCCCAAGCACCCATTCCAACTTCACAGACTTCATGAAGACCTGAGGGCAACCAGAGCTGTTTTATCACTAGCAGCCACTGAAAAACCTTTAGTCCATCAAGGCAGTGGGTTCCCACTTTCATACATTCATTAGAAAGTTATTGATTAGCTACAGTTTGAAGTAAAATTAAAAAAAACCCGGCAGTTAAATAGTGGGAAAAGATAACAATGAGAAAGGTAAATGCAAATATTAAAGGAGTTGGAACAGCATGATCAACCTACATATTACCTATTAGCATAGAGTTGACGTTTGTATAATATTTGTACAAAGAGCATAGCTTCAAGAGCACAACGAATTAACAATTCTGAGCCTGCTTCATCAGCACAACCCAACCTCCTTAGATCCCAGCTACCACCTATTCTTCCGTACAGCTTCAAGTTGCAACTGTAATCCTGCTAATTACAAACTGGTACCTGTACTTTTCTGTCCCCAAATGACTTTCTTTTAGTTAGGCATAGAAGTTACGGCTGTGAGAAATACATTATAGACCAAAACCCATTTCACTACTCTCTGCTCCCTGTCCTCCCCATTCCCAAACTCCCCCCCACCATGACTTCACAAGAAAGACATCAAGCCTGAGACCAGAGCTCCAAGTCCCAGCTGCCAGCTGGAGAGAAGCTCCCTGATTGACACAAGAGGAAGAGGACAGCGTAAAAGATCTAGGATGAAGCACAAACTGGGGGGAGACAACAACAGGGGACAGACACAAAACTAATTTCTCTTTTACTTGGACAGGTTAAAATGGTTCTGTATGAACACCTGAAAATTGACAAAGTTTGTAATACCAGAAGTAACTCTAGAGATAAACACAATAGTGTAACTCCAAACAACAAACTTGACCAGAGCTGTCTTTAGCACCACAAGCATAAGTGAGTCTTCTGTGAAAGTATTTTCTCTCTTTTTTCCAAGACATGCTTTTATGCAATGTGAACATTATACAAACAGCTGTAAACTGGGAATTTCCTGACTTTTGCCATTTGTTCAAAAAAAACTGAAACCCTTCACTTGATCTTAGCCTTTTTTTCCCATCACACCACGATTTTGTGTCGCAATTCGCTGGAGAAACGCTGCTGCAAAGTGGCCACATGCCTGCAAAAAGCAATGGCTGGGAGCCATCTGGTCAGTCACTAAGGTCGCAGAACTGAAGGAACTTCTTCCATCTCAACTCCCCCATAGCCAAGAGAGGTCTCAGCCTCTCCACCCTTCACACATCCTTACCCTTGCGGTGGGGGCACTGCTGCGAGCTTTTGCCAGCAGCCTCCTTGCTCTTTCATACTCATTGTTTTCTGACTCGAGCTTCACGGCAGCCAGCCAGATCTCCTCACTGTTGGGGTTGGCCTGCAAGAACATAAAATGACAAATGCATACAGTGAATCAACAGCAGATTTAATCCTTCGTTTGATCCAGATTAAAATTGAAATCAGAGCTTTGTCAATCCACACTAGGATTTTTTTTTTTTTCCCAGTAGATATTGGATGCTTCTCAGTTGTTGAAAAGTATTAATGCTCGATCTTCTGAACTTCCAGTTTAAATACTGAAAAGATCATAGGGTTTGCCACACTAAGACCCTCATTTTATTATCCCTGAGCTAAAAAGGTTGAATTCCCAACTGAGGTCTGTGAATACTCCTCTCCAATAAAAGTCATTTCAGTGGCAACCGTGCCACAAGAACCCTTCAGGATGGTAACAAGAAGCACCAAGAACAAATTTAAGAAGCAAATATCTTTTACCTTCCATCTCAGGACCTGTCATTTGCTTTTGCGATCTCTCAGCTTTTAAGCCTCATTCCCAGTGTTAGAATTATACCACACTGCCCATCTTTCTTTCAGCATCCAGCAGACAATCCCCTTCGTTTTGCTGTGGATTAGTAGGTTTAGTCCCAGTCACAAGCAATGCAGTAACCTCTCTGGTTAGGGCAGACCACCACCCTTTTTACTGAGGAGACAGACGACTCAAACACAAGGGGATTCTGATCCATGACTGGGGTTGGTGAGAGCCATGATGGTAAAATGAATGGTTTGAGCACTCAGAACCTGGTGTGGTGCCACAAAAAGAGCAGTAATACACTCTTGCTTCCAGCTTGCCACTATTTTACAGGAGAACGTTCTGCCACATAAAACAATGAAGGAACAGCGGAAGCCCCGATCATTTTGAAAGGCAGCAGGAATCAGGTGTTGACAGAGAAAGCCTACTCTCTATTCTTTACCAGTTGTACTTAACACCATCACACAAGTCTAACAGACCCACCTGGAAAGCCAGGGCCAAAATGCTTCTGGCTGCTGGCACATCTCCCGCCAGCCATTTCGATTTGGCTCCCATGAGCCAGAGCACTTCTGCTTTGGGACAGTGAGCCACAGCTCTCTGCAAAAGAGCCTCCAAGGATTCTCTGAGACAAGAAAGAGCAAGTTACAATCACTCGAAATACTGCCAAAGGCGAGCTCTCACACACCATTTCCACTATCACTCAATGTTATAAATATTGTTGCAAAGTCCAACGTTGTAAACCTTGATAAGTTGTTTCATAACAAGGAAAGGGTGAGGTCTTTTTTCACAAGGGTTCTGAAATCAGCACTCCACAAACGGCTCATTGTTCAGGCACCTTTGTTTGATAGCCTTTGCGGAAAGACCCTGCACACAAACAGCTCATTTGTCTTGGAAAGAGCCATTCTTAACAAACCTTAGTAGAAACTGAGACAGGAAGCTTTTCAGAATTATTAGATGAAGCTGGCTTGATCTTATTGAAATTTTTTTTCTCCTCTGGAAAATATACTTTTCAGGTAGAACAAGGGGCTTGAAAGTCAGCCACCACTGGGAAACACAGGAGAACAACATAAAAAGCAAAGACATACTTGATCAAAAAAAAAAATAGGCTTGAATGAGGCAGAACTCAGCATCTGCAGACACTTCCACACTATAGCCTTGTTGGCTTTAATGAGGACGATCCCAGGTGTATGAGTGGTCTACTGCACAGATTGTTTGTTTTATTCTAAACTTTGGGTGGAAAATTTCAGATGTCTAAAGCTTTATGAATAAACTTAAAGAAAGAGGCCTGAGCTGTGACAGTATAACAGCAATCTTAATTCAGAATGTGATATACATTCACAGTATGTTTAATCAGAAAATGCCAGAGATGCTTGGGCAACTTGAGCAATGAAGCAGTTTATCTATGAAAATTAAACATATGCTGTATTTCTAGGTGATAGGTATTTCAACTTTTTTCCTAGAAATGCCTTCTCAAAGACAGTTGTCCCTATCTTGCCTATTCATAGCTATTTTTACCAAGTAATCCCTATTGCTATAAAACTTTTTATGACTTCATAAAAACCAAAGATGTTCTGACCACATCAATAACAAAGGTCAGACCTGCAAACAATGCCAGCGGGCTTCCACCAGCTGAACTAACTCTGCACGTGCAACACACCACTGCAGGGATCATCTTGTAGCTTTTCTTCCTCCCCGGTCTACCATCCTGTAACAAGGATAAATTCTCCACCCAAGGATTAATTAGACAGCACACATACCTGGTTCCATGGTTCTTTTCAAAGTACGCGGCTCGCAGCCACACACTCTTCTTGCTGGGGAAAACTTGCAAGGCATAAGCATAAATCGCTCGGGCACACTCCAGAGCATTATGAGCAACACACTAAGGAAAACCAGATCAGAATGAAGTCAGTTTAGTGCCGTAATGAAATCAAGTGCAAGAAAGAATTACACATGCGTAATTCAACACAGAACTCAGTAACTCAGAGCAATACATGAATTGGGGCATTCTATGTAACAGAACAGTTATTATCAGCTTTTTAAAAGGAAGCAGGGAGGAAGTTTTCAAGCGTCTGTCTATCAGAGCAAAAATACCACTGGCCTTTCAGTGGGACTGACACACACAGGCCAGCTCGAAACTTTAGTAAGGCACTGTAAATGCTCTCATGTTTGCACTTTTTTTTTTTTTTTTTTTAAAAAACAGGCAAAACTCTAAGTGCCACAGCCTATGTGCCTCTACTGCTGTACGGTCAATTCAAGGCCGGTGAAGTGGACATTTCTCATGCTGAAATATAATTTAGTTTTTAATGCATGTTCAAACTACTCCTCTAAAGCAAAGAAAGACTGGTAAAACTTCTACCCAGGCCACCGTCCAGTCTTACATTAACCCCTGAGCTACAATGTTTACGCCTTGAAACTCAACTCCCAGCTCCTTTAACCAGACCCTCAATCTCTGTTGATGTCCCACACACAAAAAAGAAAAACATACCAAAACCAGCAAACAATCTACCACAGTAACAACTCTTTGCTCAGTAAAAATTCAAATCTGAAAAAAGCTCTACAATACAATAACCCCTCAAGAGGCAAACCAGCCAAACACAGGCAGGTGGTGTGAGAAACACATCCACTTTCACTGATGAAAAAAAAATGTCATTTCCCAGGCTCCAGTTCTATTTTCCTCAATTAAAAAAACAAAACTGAAACCAACAAAACCCAGCATCACAGCTGGACATACACTGTCTGCGTCTTCCATCCAGGTATGCTTCCGATCTTCTTCTTCAATCCCAATCCCAATCACAGCTCGCATGATCGCCTGGCATGTGGCCACACTTCCAGCTTTATCACATTCCTCAGCATCCTAGAAACCAGAGTAAAGCCCTGCTCATTTTGAGAACTCAGCACAAGAGGTTAGATTTTGCAACAGCAACTCCTCATGTTCGAACACAGAGACACTGTGGGTCACTGCCACATTAAAAATATCTTATTACTCAAAACGTATCGTGACACTAACTAGTGAGCCTTACACCCACAAGGAAGGTGCTACAGTTGTACACAGAATCAATGAGAAGTTGGTTAAGAAACAGAAGACCTCAACTGCAGCCACTGAAAAGGAGTAAATGTGACAACGCGTGACCCTTCCAGCCTGAAAAGTCTCCTCTTACAGCTCCACCGACCTGCCCTGGGCTGGGCCGAGCAGGGACCCGGCCTACAAAAAAAGGCAAGAATTTGAGAAGGAAGAATTGCAGCATCAAAACTACTGACCTTCTTTCAGCTTTGAGTTGACTCAAGTCAAGAATTTAAATGAATACATACCCTCAATCAGTGTGAAGTTCAAGGTGCAAAGGCGCTCTCACCAGAGCATATATGGAAAAGTGAAGTTTTCTGACATACAAAGCTTTTGGAAAGCCAAGCATGTCTTGCTTAAACTTGTTAAAAAGAACAGTGATCAGATAACAGAAATGGAACAGCTGTAGTACTGAAAAGGAACTCGAGAAGACAGTGATGCAGAGGCTGTGGTGGTGTTTTTTTTAAACAAAAGTTGAAATTAACCTTTAATTGTTTTACTGCTGTATAGGAAGTCATAATTCTTTTCAGATGTTAACAAAGATATCCATTTAATAGTAAATACTTTATTGTCAATACTCTTCTAAGTAGTGTGCCAAGGAGATTTTGCTGTCTTGACCCACTGTAAGTGACTTTTAGTAGTAAACTGGTTTAAAGACTTATGCTTAAAGGACAGTACATATTGAGGAGGAAAGAAGTTCTTTTAACCTGAACATCAAGGCATTTAGCTGGCAATAGTCTTTGAAGTGTCTCAAGAAACTCAAGCACTACAGCTTTTGAATGTAATCAAAACACTGGAAACCTCTACAACTTTTTGCAACTTTCTAGTACAGAACATCAAAACTATGATGACCTGGGATGAAGCTGCACAGAGGTTGTGTTTTGTAAATGTCACTGTACAACACGGTTCCACATGTCAGCTGTGACCACTTTGCACAGCCTCAGGACTACAAGCCAATAAAGGACTAACAGAGTATTTCCTGCCTGCTGCATATGCAATATTTGTATTGACTTCTTACACCACTATCTGACAAAGACTTCTTTGGCAAACAGATACCTTTTAAGCCAAGAGAGACATATGTAAAAAATACATAAATCTTTCACTGGAGGCTTAAAGCCTCTGTCCTACTTAAGGACTGCTTCAACTTGAAACGGGGTATCTTCCAAGAGAGGAGAAAACCAGATATTCCTCAGCTCAACACACACAACGTCACCCCAGTGTATCACTTATGGCCTTGACCATATTCAGCTTCTTAATCTCACCTCTTTGTCTCTTCACAGGGATCTCCACTGATAAGCCTAGTGCAAAATTACTCTAACCTTCAATATCTAGCATCAGCAGCCTTCAAAGCAGAACCTGAAGAGTTCATCCAGGTCTCTAGTGAAGAGGGAAGACTTGAATTCTCGGCTTCACTAACCGAGACCAAGCGCATACCTGTATCCACTGTTCTCTGTTAATTTCCACACCGTTAGCCCTCAGAGATGTGATGGCTCTGTCAATGATCTTCTCCACCATCTGGGTGTTTCCATTAGCTTCCTCCAGTTTGGCAGCAGTAATCCAGATGTGACGATCCGTCGGAATATTCTCACGGGCTTTGTTAAGGACTTTACGAGCGTTCTCATAGGTCTCCAGCCTTGCCAGCGCGAGCCACAGCTGTAGAGCAACAAAAGATGTATTTTAGGTCAGAACGAGGAGATGACAACACTGCCATACTGCAGCGTCAGCCCAAAGAGATAAGCAGCTTTATGCTGTTTGCTACTGGTTGGCAATTGTCCCCAAGTAGTCTAAGGAGGCTGCAGAACACCAATGGAGAAATAGTAGAAACAAGAGTCTACTACTGTCCTTAAAGCTCAGTCCTAATCACCTCAAGTTATCGCCTCCGTTTGCTGGGCTGCTGCACTTGTATTTTCTGTCCACATCACCTTCTGAACAGCTGAATATTACACTATGGTTCAGCGTTTCAGAAACTAAGAACATTGTTTTACATTCCCCAGGCTATACGTATCCTTATTTTTACAACTGTTGAGGCACTAAACACAAATATGAACACAGCTAATTGGCTACAGCAGGCACAGCAGTACACTGGCATAACTAACATAACAATTACACAAGAAAATGAGGCATATAATGACCATCAGACAATTAACTCTGGAGAAAAAAGTACAGGCCACTACTCATCGCATCCTTCTCAGTACGGCATAAAGTGCGTGGTAGAAAACTCACACTGCACTCATCCTGCCTTTTGTTTTCAAAGCTCTACTGCCAACCTAAAGTGGTGTGTAGGGGGTTGCTTTATTGTACTTTTTAAAAACTTACTTCAACACTAGTTGGACAGCACTCCACAGCCCGACTCAGCATGATCCTGGCATCCTCAGGTTCTTCTAACTCCACAGCTGCCTTCCACAAACGCACCGAATTTGGAACATGCTCCAGGGCTAGGGAAGCAAAACAATTATGTCAATCATGACAAAGTAGCTCACCAAAAAGAACTGCATTTTTTGAAGATGATATATTAAAGGCTTTGTCCTATTACAGCTGAAATTTCCTGAAAGAGAGAAGGGAGGGAACTGTACTTACATTAGCTCTTGCTTCAACAATGAGAACTTCAAATCAGAAAATAAAAAAACCTCCTTAGTAATTTTAATTGGAAACAGGTTTTAGAGAGCCAAGGGCTTTTTCCCCATACAAGCTGTGATTACATCCTCTCCAGTAAAACACCTAGCTGAACAAAGCCTCCAGCCTCAGCAAATGAGCATAGGCAGGATCTTCAAAATTGGGTAGCCTAATCATGCTGGCTCTCCCTTTTTGAAAAGGAAGCATCTTCAATACGAACCAGTAACACAAGCTTGTTCCTTCGATGTTGAAACTGTCCCTTCACAATTAAGCCTTCTCCTGACAGCTTAATGGATCCCAGTTTAGCTTCCCAAAAAGTTACTGGCCCACTATGCAAAACTAAAACCGGAGGATGCATGAAAGCTTAAAGGTATCGTTGACACTAACACCTTAAGTTACCGAATCCAAAGTGTTCTTTTAGCAATCCAATATGGGCTCCATCTAATTAAGAGTCTTTGAGGATTCCTTAATCTTGTCCAAGAGTTAGCTACTGCTGATAGAACCTGCATTCTCTGCAGAATGTATTATATGTGCCATCTGAAACATTAGTCTAAACAACTTTTCACAGCCTGTCTCTTCATAACCTCATATCTTAAAGATACGTTTAAAAACTACAGGATTTTTTTTAGCCTTTTGTCACTACAACTTGCACCACAGATTACTGGTATTAGCTGCATTGCAGTAGTAATTTAATTGCTTCCATGGTGATTGCACGCACACGTGCTGTAGTAACAGAGGATGGAGCACATCCTTCTTCAGTAAAGCAAGCATAACTGCAGGACCACAGAAATGGGTGGCTGAGGCATCTAAACCTACTTTGAAACTAGCTAGGCTGCTCCTCTAAGCATTCCTGTAAAGGCAGAGGCACACTGCTGAGCCTCAGCTTCAGAGCACATCTCAGCTCTGCAGAAATACACAGTATTCCAAGTAGCAATGCACAAAGGGGTTTGGGCATTAACGGTTTCTCCTCGAATCCACAGCTGCAGGAGAATTTTCTGAAGCATTTTAATTGAACAGTATCAGCCTGCAAGAGCTGAAAGCATCACTCAGCAGGACAAAGCACGTTTTCATAGACAGTGCGATCAATTTTTACACCTCAAGATGTAATTTAAACACTCAGCTTGCTGGCTCTCCAGTCAGAGTGAGCCTTTAAAAACTCCAGAGGTTCTGCTGGAGGGTTGGAATGCACACAGCCAACAGATAAGAGAAACACATTATGAAGGATCACACTTCAGTGACATTACCTGGCAGTCAGTCTTTTTTATTTTAGGAGAAATAATGGGTTAAACTGCCACTTATCTTAAGGCTGTATATACAAACAGCTCCAGGCATCATATTACTGATGTTCCCTAGGTAGCAGAGGAGCACTGTGAAGCTGTTAACAGGCAGAAATTGGAAAGAGAATGATAAATCATGTTCCATTCCACTACAAGCTTTGTATCAGAGATTAAGTAGGTGGTTCCAAAAACTGAAAGCAAGATCTTTTTCCTCTTTGCAAATACATTTAAAGCAAAACTCAGTACTTAAAGCATAAGTCACTTCTTTCACACAAGATGCTCTCCTACCCGAACTGGACTCAGAAATCTGTTTCTGCTCATATGAAAGTATTTTTCTGTTCAGCATCTGTTATTGTTCTTGAGAAGGACTCAGTGTCACAGGAGAGACATTTCACAGCATGCTGCACTGCTTAGCCAATGAAAATTAAAAAAGCTACTGAATAGTTAATATCTGAAGTCTTACAACTTCAGACTCAGAAACCTTTAAATGCCTTTCATCCATATGCAATAAGAGGTCATTTCACCAGAGATGTGCAATTTTACATGCAATAGTAAGACACAGGAGGCAATTAACTTCCTCTGGAGCCAAGACATTCAGTACCGTAGACTGCTCCATAATGATTTAGTCCATGTATTAAATCCAGACCATCTTCCCAGTCAGGATTAAAGTCAAGAGATATAATTGATACAATTCAATAGACACAAAGGATCTCATCTCTGCTGAAACAGGCAGAGTACCTTAATCAAAGAATTAATATTATGAACCTGCAAGGAAGACCCGGGTTCAGGACAACACAACAAACTGCTGTTAAAGAGAGCATTGTTTGGAAAAGACAGTAATTCCACAAAAGAAGAAAACCCCCAAGTGTAATACAACAGAAGATGTAAGGCTTTAGGTAAGCACCACAGAGAAAAGCTGTTTGCCAAGAACACAGAACTTGCTACGGTAAAGCAAACCCCAAGGCCCACCAGGCTCAATGATACAAGAACCCCAAGGCCTCTAAAGCTCCTCCACCAGGAATCACCACGGTCTCTAACAGGTTACAGACAAGTCAGAACTCAAACACAAAGTCTGGTATCTTTTCCTAAATGTATCCCAAGGTGACAGTTAAAACACCCTTTTTTTCTTAGAGCACTATTTCCTAATAGCTTTCATCTACCTATCTAACTTTGATCAAGTTGGAATTGGTTATGGTAAGTGGAATGTCATTTTGCAATTGCTCACTAGCAGCAGCTTTCCACTTAAGGACGTTTTACAAATACTTCAACAACCCCACTCTTTGACTCAACAGTAGCAAGTTCCAGCATTAAGGCGCACACTATCAACAACCGTATTTTCACCAAGGATGCCGAAACAAGCACTTAAAGTTATGGCCACATCTTGAACGACTTACAATGCAATACAAACAGAGCGGGACTCAGACTTTGTTCCCTGTCCCTGCAGAAGCTCTCACCTTTCCTCAGGACACGTTTCTTTGCACGGATATCTGTCTCCAGCTCTGCTGCTCTGATATAAATTCGGACAGACTGCGGAAGGTGGCGGACAGCTTGGGCCACAACAGCCTTGGCCGTATCCCCAGGCTGAAGCCGAGCAGCTTCTAACCAAACATCTTCACTCTGTTAGGAAGAAGAAACAAACTTCCTTTACATCAAAACAAGAATTTTAAATTAGAGCCTCTAGGTAAATATGCGTTCTTTTAATAATGCAGATAGCGAAGCTGGATCAGCATAGCCTGATACAAGCTTAACAAAGAGATGCTGCTGCTTGTAATCACCACCTTTCCTACTGGCCTGCAAGGATCAGCAGGGAAGCAAAGTTCTGACCTTGGGGCACATCTCTGTTCCTTTCATGATGAGGTTTCGAGCCACTTGGAGCTTGCCAGTGACCTCCTCCAGTCGGGCTGACGCTATCCAGGCTGGCGGATGATGAGGATTGGTCTCTCGTACAGATTTCAGGAGCAAACGGGCTTTCTTGATATCACTAGGGGAGGAGGAAAGACAGGCAGGAAAATATTCAGCATGTTAGCAAACAATTCTCCTGAATCAATATGTGCTTTATGGTTGGTTCTTTGCAGCCACACTCAGACGCATGGTAACTGTGACCTCAAACGTTTCCATAATGGTGACAGAAATTACCAAAACAAGCTTACAAATATACACTGACACAGCAAGATCACAGTGAAAAACAGTTAAACATGTAAGAAAGATTCTTAGGAATTACAGCTGGGCACTTGCAGCTGGAAGCTGATAAGCACAAACATTGATTTAAGTCAAGTATTACCATCAACACGTGCACATATCTCTGACTTAAACAGCAATTCGTTATGAAACAGGTGTCAAAATTCAGGTTAAAGAGTTTTTCAGAGGTCATCAATCAAACCTAAATTAGCAGTACATAGGTACAATTAACCAGGTCATTTCCTGGCTGGCAGGCAGCCACACACTGCCATCACTCTTGCATGTTAGTCCAGGGATAGAATAGAAACGATCCCCACAATCGATGCAACTAGGTCAGATGCTAAATACATCAGTTGAAAGACTATACCGGACCTCGTGTTAAAAGAATTCATCCTCGAAAACTCACCTAGCATCTTTTCCAAATTCAGTGTTAGCCAAAAACCACCTCCTCAGACAGATTTGCAGTTATATGCAGGATCACAGACCCTACTAAGAGGATAAATCAGTTGATCCTTCTTACACTTACTTGATATCTCCTCCATGTGTGGGAATCATCGAATTCAAGTCTGTCAAGTATCCTTTCGGGTCCACTACAGTCTGGCCACTCACAGAGTCCGACACCTGGGAAAGTCAAGTCAGCGCTACTGAAATGACCGTTCAGAGCCCACAGTCTGCCTGTGCACACTAAAGACTGGGAAAGACACTGCTGCTATACAAAAAAATCCTAGACATGTATCTGTTACCAAAACCAAGGAAGAAGGAAAACACAAAGTCTTGAGTATTAGCTTTTTTTCACTTCTAAAATACATTACTTTAACGTTAAAAATGTAGTACCACTGAAAATGCAGAAAACAAGCAGCTTGGCTTTCAGTCACCAACAAGTCTTGCAGCCCCGCCAGCTAAAGCCCACCTTTTTAGTTTAAATCAGATTTAGATGGGAAAAATCAATGAAAAAGAAGAGAGGTCAACAACAATTTAAGAGTAGCATTTTTCAGCATTTTGCGGTGCATCCCTACACATGATAGGAAAGATGCTCCCCTTGGTAAAACTACCAGTGCTGTTTGTCTACAGTCCACCCCCAGTATAACAGGAAAGTCTCTTCTCCCATAATGACCAAGACTTCCAGGGAACCGTTATTCCTCAGGAAATTCTATTAGGGCATGAGATTTAAGGAGGAGGAGGAGGAGTGCATTAGTATTTCTAGTCACAGCTGAGCTACTTCTTCTCTCCAACACTCAAAAGAATGAAAGACTTTTCTAAAACCAGGTCCTAAACAGCAGCACAATACCAACAACTGGGTCAACCCGTGACGGATCCTCCCTTTCAGCACCCTTACCTGGCTTAGCCTCATATCCATCAAGGTGTTCCTAGCTTGGCCAATCTTCCTCATATCCAATTCACCTGTTCCTGGTGTCATTAAGCCTGGTGTCATTCCTCCTGGATATGGAGTATTCAAGCCCCCTGGATATGGAGTATTCAAGCCGCCAAATTGCTAAAAACAAGAGTGAGAGAAATACATTTTTAAAATCTCTTCTGAGATTTCAAAGATAATTCAGGCTGTTGGCTGATCTGCTCTTCTCCAGGCTACGGGGCAGATGCCAAAATCCTGTAGGTATCTCTGAGACTGTGGCTTTACCCTGAATCAAAAGACATTTCTCATACAGGTTTTGCAAATCAGTAGTTAATTACATGAGTTTAGTCAAGTCAGTGAACTATGTAACAAGAAATTAAGTGAAAAATTCCAGCAAAAGCATCTAAACCTATCACATTTAAACAAGAATATCTACAAAGAAGTCCCACGGACATCTGGTGCCAATTTAGAGCCAGTCAGCTTCTCCTGTAACTGTACAACCACAGTAGCCTGCAGCCATGTAGCAACAAGCTAAATTACTTAATTTTCAGTTGACAACAAGGCAAATATTTTTAACACAATTGCTCCAGGGTTGAGCAAACCACTAGGTGAAACGGAATTTTATTTTCTGTTCCATTTTTGCAAAACCTTGTTATAACTGAAACGGATGTTGGTTATGTTCACCAAATTCATTATCGCCATTCCACAGCCACAGAAAAAAGAAACACTTTCTTCCATTTTTAACACAAGAACCAGGCTGTCCCTTCCTATCCTCAAGTGTTCTCTGGCAATGAGTGTGCACCAAAAGACTCCAGGAAGAACAGGAGTTTAACATCCAGCAATTCCTTTGACAGACTCACAAAATACACCAAGTTTTTTGGTCAATTATCTTTTGTTTTCCAAATGCCACTGATGAACGCACGGTTTAACCCTCATCTCTAATTACACAGTACAGATCACATCTTCATCAGGTTTGCTCTGTACTCACCGTTTGGCGTGGGTCCACAGAGGTGTGATTCTCCCCCGACTGTAAATGCTTTGCAAAGAAGCTATCGGGTACAGGAGTCAGCTTCTCATAACGAGGATTTCTCTGACGCTTGTTCCTGGCGTCGCCAACTTCTGGAATACTGAGCCACTCTTCTTCCGTGACCTCTGCCAGCTTCCGCTGTTCAAAGAGGAGTTGTCATCAGTATTTGCTGTCAAAATTTGATATTTTTAACTGCTCTAATTCCTTAATAGATTTCTTCTTTTTCTTGAAGGAATTCAAGATCAATTAAACACTTAAAGGTCAAAGGTCAGATTTTTTTCTATGCCAATGTACAAAAAAATTCGATGCATTTAATTAGAATTTGGTTTTAGTCCAGACTGAGATTTCAAATCAATTTGGTTATTAAACTCGGCACTGTAAATATTCAGATTAATCTCAGTGCCTGCAGCATCGACTGTTTTATTGCTAATCATTAAACAACAGCTTAAACAATACATTTTATTTAAAAGAAGCTTCAGAGTCAGGAGATCCTGCTCAACTACTATTTCAATGCCAATAAGGTATCGGTCCCTGAAAGACAAAGTGTAGCACATTCTCAAGAATGGATGTGAAGTTGCAATAAAGCACAAAACAAAAGCTTAGTATCAAAATTTGCATAAATTTCACTACCTTGTGTATCCACAAGAAAAGTGCTCAACAGGCAGAATCTCCGTATTCTCCCATATCCCTACAAAGTAGCTTATGAAAACCCATTTCCACCAACTGAGTGCAACTCTGAACACCGCTGTCAGCTGAGACAACACTGGTTTATCACTTACTGCAGATTCCATCATCATTTTGATTTAAACCAGCGCTACCAATCCTACAGTCTATAACTCTGCAACTGACTGAAAATTATACTGCGGCACTCAAGAGAGCTTCCAAGCAAGATCATCTTCTGCGCCACCGGCTGCCAGCTTGGTATTCCTTATTTTTCCAACAGAAAGTAATTCTAATCTGGAGAATAATGAAGTACTTGTCTGCTAGCACACAAAATCTGAGCAAAGTAATGCAGGACATACAACCACACCTCACGTCAAAGATAAAAGTCACATTTCAGACAATTTTTCCTTACTTTCAAGTCTGAGAACTGCTGCTGAATTTTAGGTCGTTCCATACGGTATTTTTCTATCTCCTCTTTTTCTCGTTGTTCCCTTAAGAAAAGGAGTACTGAGGTTATGCTCAAAGTAACACATGGCAAGTCTTTAACCAAAGTGGTGATATTACAGAACAATGTGTTTGATCAGAGCTCAGGCATAAAGAAAAGCATTTTTTCCAAGCTTAGATTATCAACATTATAACAGAAATGTCTTATCAATTAAGACAGTATTATTGTGTAAAAACAGACATCTCCAACCAAGTGAACTTCAGTCTTTAACATGCTCTTACCTGTAGACCAGGCAGTGAGTTTAACAAGTAACACTCGCCAGTTTACAAGACACCTGCATTACATGAATTCCCTAACAATTTCCAGTGTGCTGTGCAGTATATGATGTGTCATAAACCAGTCACTCAGCACCTCCCCACATCATCTTAATGAACAACAGCGAACCTTAGTCAACCACAGTGAGGCAATTCAACCACATCAACTCTCAGAGCAAGTCAGGCAAAATACCCATCATCCTAAGAACTTGGAGCCACGGGGTCAAAGGTAGAGCATTAAAACAATGAAAAACCAGTAGACAAGGACAAAATCTGAACTGGAAAATGATAGAGGTAGAGGAAAACTCTAAAACACAAACTAACTAGAAAAGACCCTGTGCCAGCATTGTAATTTATCCCACCTTCTTTCTTTTCTGCGTTCATCCATCCTCTTATCCAAAGCTGCATAAATAGCATCTGCTTCCTCATCATCTTTTTCATAGGGACCACTTGAGAACAGGCTCCCAGCATACCCATTGAACTAAGAATTTGGAGAGGAAAAACAAAAAGAAGAAATAATAACAAAAAAAAGCAGTATGCTCAGTTTAAAGCTCCTGTTATGTTCCTGCTACAGCCAACAAACACCCAGAACAAGGCAAATGCACAAGCAGGTTATTTCTAATCACATTGCATCAGACTAACACATCCCTAAAAAAAACAGTTTTCTTCTACCATTCCTGGTGTTTATTCTCCCACACCATTTCAAAAGCAAAACCGCTTCAAAATTGTTTCTCTTTCAAAATCGCTTCTTTTAAGCAATAAATGAGATCCCAGTATAGAAAGGCCATTATCTTCTATTCACCACTTCTTTTTTAAACTACTGAAAGTAAACGAAAAGGGTAACACCACATTTAACTAACCAAAGCAGGACTTAAACACGAGAGACTACACAGGCCACAAAGACAAATATATGTCAAAGCACAAGAGCTTAAATTTCATTTGTACAGGAGAACATAAAATACAACCCCCAAGGTGCTTAAGCTAATATTTTATTTATGGATCTCTTCTCAAGATTCTCAGGGCTCTGTATAGATAATTAAGTCACAAATGGGGACAAATGCCACAACAAAAACCTAGAAGCACTATGCCTTACATATAATGAGGTCTCAATTTTAAAAAAACAAAACAAAAAAAAAAAAAAAAAAAAAAGAGAAAAAGAAAGTGCTATTAGCAAACTACAGGAAATTCTGGCCTTGAAACCTCAGCTAGTATGGGCTTTCACAGCAAGAGGGCAGGGAGCTAAACGATTCCTCTTCCACTTGGGGAGAAACACCTCCAGGATGATGAAAATCTCATCACCTCATCGTAATTTGTGTCGTTCAAATCTTCATCATCATCATCAGCCGTCTGATTCTTTTTCATCTGATCCCCAACAGTTCTCTTCCCCGGCGGAGCATGACGATCATCCACGGGGTCATTGGCGTCACGCGCGGGGCCAATATCAGAGCGGGTGGTGAAACCTGTGGCTCTGTGTTGATAAACCAGTAGCAGCTAGTTAGCACGCCGCAACCTCACTGTTTGCTACACAGTCTGTCCAAATTATTACTTAGACAATAAAGACTATTCTTCTCCAAGAAAGGCATCTGCCAGTCCCCATCCCTACTGGTCATAAAGCCTGGGAGGAAAAAACTGTGCTCTCATAGGGAAAACTTTATTTGCAAAGACACTGCAATCCCCTGGCGTGCTGCCCTAGCATCCATCTTGTCTCAAGACATGTTTGCTCTTCTAAACTGTGTTTCTATTAGACACAGTGTGAAAAAGCTGGTGCTGCAGGCTGTAGGGCACTACGGGGTGGAGGTCTGGGTGCAGGGATGGGGCGACTGGGACTCACCAGAAACCCCATTTCAACCAGTCAGCACGGCCCGGGGCACAGTCAATATAATCGCCCTGATGGGAGGGCACCAACAAACATAACTCCCACCCGGCAAAGGGCAACTCCTGGTGCCCACCCATCACCCAAACCTGCCTCTCGCTGTTCCCAGCCCAAACGCACCCAGATTTAGTGATTTTTAAGAGACCCCCACAAATACTTGTTAGAAAATCAGGAAGGGCACAATCCCCTCCCAGCCAGCAGCGTCTAAAGCACCCACGAACTCATCCCCGAGTGCCAGGTTCGCGTTTAAACACGAACCCGCCCGCCTAAAGAGCAGACGCGAACCAGCGCGTAGGAATAACGCCCCAAAAAAACCGAACAGGCCGCACGGGGCCTCTGGGCTGCCCCGAGGCGACGGGGACGGACAGGGCGGGGAGAGGGGCACCCAGGAAGGCACGAAACGAGGCCCGGGGAGGTCCTGGGGGGTCCTGGAGCCCCCTGGAGCCCGGGGGAAAGGCGGGAAGGGGGAACCGGGGCGAGCGCGGCCTAGGCCGGGGGGAGCGCGGGCGGCGCCTCACCCGCGACCCAGCCCCGGCACGTAGCCCAGGGGCGCGGGCATGCCCAGGAACGGCTTCTTCTTCTTGTTCATGGTGCCGGGGACGGCGGCGGCGAGGCGGGAGCGGAAACGGGAGCGGGGCCGGGGCCGGGAGCGGCGGAACCGGGCGGCAGGAGCGGACGGCGCCGCGGGGCGGGGCTACCCGGGAGGCCAGAGCGGCACATCCGCTCCGACGGGGGGAGGCGGGCGGGGAGAGCGCCCCCTGGCGGCGCGGCGGTCCCTAGCCGGGAATGCGGGGATGGGGTGGCTGAGCCGCACAGCGCATGCGCGGGAGCGGGGACGGACGTCCCCGCATCTCTCGCCCCACGCGTGGAATGCGCCTTCCCCCTCCCACCCCCTCACCCCTCCCTTCCCACCCGCGACTGCTGCCGGCGCCCGGTCCGTGTCCCCCCCCACCCTCCGCGCGCATGTGTGCACCACCATTTTCCCCCCGCTCCCGCGATTTCCCACGCAAAACGAGGAAGCCCCCGCCGCCCCACGCGCGCCCGGTCCGCAGCCCGCGTGTGCGCCCCGTGGAGCCGGTGGCGGGGGTGGGGATGGGGGGGGATGGAGCTGCGCTGCCGCCGCACGGAACATTTGGGGCTGTTATTAAGTGTTTGTATTGGGAAACACGTGGGTACTGAGGCTTGCTTGGAATAATAATAATATCAATATAGTATATATAACAATATAGTATATATTCATTTTATTACAGATTATTATAACTCATTATAATAACAATATAGTATAAATAATAATATATAATATTACATGATATAAATTATTATTATTACTACTATTATTACTATTATTATAAAACAGGTACTGAGTTTGGCTCGGATTTTATTATTATGAAGAAGAGGAAGAAGAAGAAATATAGGTACTGAGGATGGCTCGGGATGATGATGATGAAGAAGAAAAGGAAGAAGAAGAAAATAAAAAGAAGAAACATGTAGGTACTGAGGATGGCTTGGAATGATGATGATGATGAAGAAGAAGAAAAGAAAAGAAAAAGAAGAAAAGAAAAAGAAGAAACATGTAGGTACTGAGGATGGCTCAGAATGATGATGAAGAAGAAAAAGAAGAAGAAGATGAGAAAGAAGAAAGAGAAGAAGAAACACATAGGTACAGAGGACGGCTCAGAACATCCCCAGGAGCTGAGTGTCTGCTGGGGAGCGAAGCTGACACCCCGTTTTTAGCACCCCACAGCCAGACTAGGGGGAAAAAAGGGAAAAAAGGGGCCGGGAATGTCCCAGCAGAGCGCGGGGGTGGCCGAACCCCCCGGCACTGCTCGTCCTCGTCCCTGCCCAGCCCTCGCTCGCAGGGCTGTGCCGCCCCAGCCTTGCTTTCCCGAGAAATTTCCCTGCTTGATTCCCGAGAGGAATGATCCTGGTGGGCGCGAGCCGGTTCTTGCGCTCGTCCCTTTGCGCTGCAGCCCGGGGTGGGGGGGGCTGAGGCATCCCGTGGGGATGGGGGGGGCGCAGCTCCAACCCCTCGGGGCTCAAGGATCCGGCCCCCCCCCAGGCTGGGCAGAGCCCCTCGGCCTGCCCCATCCGTCCTCCCAGGGGACCCAAGGATGGCCCAGGGGTTCCTGCCTCAGTTTCCCCAACCGGCAGCACCGGGCACGTTTCTCTCGCCTTCCCACACCAGGGGGGTGTCAGAATTAAGTAGCAAAGTCCCCTGAGATCTGGGCCCAGCTCTAACAGAGAACCAAAGGATCCCCCAGGAGAGGCCTGGGATCACTAATCACAAGGGCAAGGGGGAGCGAGAGGGGTTCAGAGGGGCCGAGGCCACTTTGGGGACTTGTCCCCGTCCCCCACCCCCCCCTCCAGTCCTCCCACTGCCAACCCCTGCCAGGTTTCCACGCTCCAAACGTTAAGAGCAGAAACCAGCTGCGGGGAAGACAAATAGCCCCATTTTGCATGCTAATGGCAACCCAGCCCCCAGCCGCTTCCCATCAATCTATTTTTGGGTTTTGCTGGAGAAAGAACAAAAATAAATAAATAAAATCACTTTTGCCAAACGGTTGGGGTGGAGGGGGTGGGGGGAGTGGGGGGGGGTGGGGGTGGGGAAAGGAAGGCTGCAGCATTCCAGTTCTCCTGGCTGGGCAAACAGGAGCAAGGGCAATGCCCACGGGAGCATCCCCAGTGCCAGGGAGGGGTGCAGGATCACCCCCACACCCCGACCCCCAGCACCCCAGGGGCTGCCCCGATGCGGCTGCTCTGCAAACACTCCCCATTGTAGGAAATCCCGGCATCGCCAGCTTTGCAATCCCCGCCGTGCAGCTGGGGACCGTTTCCCTGCTGGGGCAGGATTTGTCCCTGGGAGAAGGGGCCCGTCAGCCCTCCCCAGCTCTTGCAGCTTTTCTGGTGGGGCTAATAAAAGATATTGCTGTCCCAGCAAATCCGGCTTCCTCTACATACCCAGAAAGATTTTATGCTGCATCTGTGTTCCAGCTCATCCCGTGTCATTGAGCATCGGGTGAAACCCAGCAGGTCTTCACTGGAAAGGGGGATAAATCCCTGTCCCCTGCCAGGGGATGGGGACAAAGGGATGGGGGACAAAGGGATGGGGGACGAAGAGGGGCTCGTCCCACCTGGCAGCAGCCACCAGGAGCCTCCCCGAGCCGAGGAGAAGCTGTGGGAGGGATGGGGGGAGCAGGGAAGCGCCTGGTCTCTGTGGAGGCCAAGGAAGCTTTAAGAATTTCGCTTTTGGGAGTATTTTCCGAAAAACACAGGTGAGGTGAGGAATGGCAGCAGGGTGACCCCAGCACAGGGCTGTAAATCTTCTCCCTTTACACAACGGCAGCACAAATCCAGCCTTTCCATAGGCAGGAAGGTTTCCCCTCTCCCACAGCTGGCCGGTGTTCGCAGCACACACGTGCTCCAACCGAGGAGAAAACGCAGAATAATTTATAGGTTGAGTAAAATCAATCGGAAATGGTTTTTAATCATCTCTGTGCGTGGTTTGTTATGTACTGGCGAGTGCTGGGGAGAGCCAGCAGCCAGACCCCAGCGTGGCCCCGAGCCGCTGCGCATCCCACTGACTGGGAGCTCTGGTTTGAACCTCCAGCGGTGGTGGAGCGCAGAGGGGATGAGCAGTTCAGGATCCGGCCCTTGAGCATCCTCACCAGCTTAGCTCTTACTCTTTGGGATTTCTCCTGGGGTGTCCCTTTGCTACCCGAGCCCCGGCACCAGGCTACTGCAGGCATGTGGCCAAAAGCCACGTATTAATCGGCGGTTATTCTGATTAATGCAGCCAGGGGGGTGCTGGGGTGGGAAACAATTGGGGGGGAGAAAGCCCTGAGCTCCTCCTCGGTCACAGCAAAGAGGCTGTGGGTGTCAGGCAAGAGGTGGCCGGTCCCTGCGGTGCTGTGATGGGAAGGAGCGGAGCTGCCGGCATCGCTCTGCCCCACAAAAACACCTTGAAACGGGGCGAGAAGCGAGGAGGAGGACCTGCTTTCTCCCCGGTGCAATGAAATAAGAAGGGGAGAAGGGGTAACAGCTCCTGTTAAATGTACAAACACCGTGCACCACCCACATGGACCAGCTGCCAGGATAGGCAGCCTTATGGAGAGGGAATAAAAACCCCAGAGGAATAGAGCCACCAACGGCAGCCGCCGCCGGTCACTCCTCTCTCCTGCATGCACCGAGTCACCCCGCTTCTGATTTGGGACTTTCTGAGCTCAGTTTCTGCACGTTTTGCTAAGAAAAGCCAAGGTGGGCAGGGGAGGCTGGGCACATCGGCGCGGACACACAGGTAATCACTCACAAAGGCTTGAAAGTGAAAAATAATCCCTTAGATGGGAGTGTGAGGTGGAGCTCATTTAGTGTGGCTCCCGCTGGGGACCGGGTGGGTCAGGATCCGGCCGGTAGCCGAGCCAGGAGCTGCCTGGCCCATGGCCGGGGCTGCTGCGGAGGGGTCGCTGCGGCCCCCTCGCTCGCACAAAGCCTCCTCTGTGTCCCCGGGGAGAGCGGAGGCGGCGGCGGCTTCTCCCGGGACAACGGGAAAACAAACCCCAGGGTCCTCCCCAAGCTGGAAATTCATGTTTTTAAATATCGCATAGCGCAGCAAGAATGCATCCGTGGGGCAGGATCGATGGTGGGGCTCATTCCCAAGCACTGTTTCCCGGTGCCTGCCTGCAACACTCCTGCCTGCAAAACTCCTGCCTGCAACACTCCTGCCTGCAAAACTCCTGCCTGCAAAACTCCTGCCTGTGAAATTCCTGCCTGCAAAACTCCTGCCTGCAAAACTCCTGCCTGCAAAATTCCTGCCTGCAAAACTCCTGCCTGCAAAACTCCTGCCTGCGAAATTCCTGCCTGCAAAACTCCTGCCTGCAAAATTCCTGCCTGCAAAATTCCTGCCTGCAAAACTCCTGCATGCAACACTCCCGCCTGCAAAATTCCTGCCTGCAAAACTCCTGCCTGCAAAACTCCTGCCTGCAAAACTCCTGCCTGCGAAATTCCTGCCTGCAAAACTCCTGCCTGCAAAATTCCTGCCTGCAAAACTCCTGCCTGCAAAACTCCTGCATGCAACACTCCCGCCTGCAAAATTCCTGTCTGCAAAACTCCTGCCTGCAAAATTCCTGCCTGCAAAACTCCTGCCTGCAAAACTCCTGCCTGTAAAATTCCTGCATGCAACACTCCTGCCTGCAAAACTCCTGCCTGCAACACTCCTGCCTGCAAAATTCCTGACTGCAAAACTCCTGACTGCAAAACTCCTGCCTGCAAAATTCCTGCCTGCAAAATTCCTGCCTGCAAAACTCCTGCCTGCAAGCCCAGAGCAGAAATCCAGCCCCGTGCCAGCATCACCTGCCCGTGTGCCAGTGCCATGAATGGGGATTGGACGTTCCAGGGGTACTCGAGGTCACTGGGGGGTTCCCGGAGCAGCGTAAACTCCTCGGTTGAGCCCTGGGAGGCAAAAGGGGCTGAATTTGGCACCACAGCCCCAGGCACGTTTGCATCTGCAGCCAGCATGGTTCTTTCTCGGCAGAGGTGCCTCTGCTTTGCAGTCCCGAATGGGATGATTACTTGGATTTCAGACGTGAAAGTGTGAGCAAAGAGTAAAACAGGGGCTTGTTTTTGATCCCTGTCGGCTCAGCTACTAAATTAACACTTTTGGAGCCTGTTCTCACTTGATTATCACCCCGTGC